ATATATTTGACATTAAAAAATATTGCGGTTGCAACAATGTATCCATTTCGGATACAGAGGTTTTTATTTGGATACAAATAGATACATTGTTGCAACTGCAATACTTTTTCATGTCAAATAAAAAAAATCTGCGCATGAGGGAAGAAGAATTCCAATCCGCTATTCTATCGGTAAAAAGATCGGCCGATTTGCCCATCAATGCCGCAAAAAATCGGCTGATTTTTTCCAACTTTATCGATAAAAAAAAATGTGCCAAAATCCAGAAAAACGGCCGATTAATTAACCCATTAACAGTGGGAAAATCAGCCGATTTTTTGTCCAGCCCAAAAAAAATCAGCTGATTTTCAACCCATCTATGGCCTGCATAAGTTCCACACAGACCAAATAATACACACCGATTGGGATTATTTTTACCAAAGCAATGTAGCAGTATACATTTTGCTCCAAATTTATGAAGAAAAATTTCTTATTTGTAAAATTTTAGAACAATGAAAAATTGTTTTTTCCTAAATTTCTCATTCTTTTTTAACTTACAGCACAAACAAAAACAACCAGTGTTAATTAAGTACCACAAAACAAAGCTCTATTTGTGTGAGAAAAAAAAAAAAAAAAAAAAAAAAATTAATTTGGGTAGTGTTTGCATGACTAAGTAATTATCAAAGTGTGAAAGCACTGAAAGCTGAAAATTGGTCTGAGCAGGAAGGGGGTAAAAGTGCCCGGTATTGAGGTGGTTAAAATAAACATTTCGCTGCAATACTTTCCATCTAGGGCTGTCCCCACAGAATTCCATTTCACCACTAGATGTTGCTAGTCTGAAGTTTTTTTTTTTTTTTCTTTTTTTTTTTTTATGGACACCCAGCATCATTCAACTCACTTCCTCTGAGCTCATACAGTCATTGATTCAATTACTTAACACCCCGCCTTTAAAACGCCACTCATATCAGCAGAAGTAAGAACTCCCCTGTGTGGTTGAAGAGGAAGAACTCGTTATGGAATAAATGTATGTATGGAATAAAATGTATGTATGTATGTATGTATGTATATTATGTAATTTAAAAGTAGGGGTGGGGGTGCAACAACACCTGAGTTCTGCTTTTATCAACAGGAAATTTTGTGGTAACCATATTTTCCCAATAGTGATTCATTGTAATTATAAGCAACAATAGATGTGCACCTACAATTTCTTGGCTGACCATTCATAGAAAAGTGTAAAGCCTGTCTTTGGGGAATTGTGGGTGCTTTTAAGAGCTACAGTTAATCTGTGTCCTCTTAAAACCATGTCAGTGCAGGATGCTAGTGAACTGCAGTTCCTAACCAGAACTCCACTATTTCCCAAAGGTTGCCTACACACAGATTAATCAATAGGCAGCTTCCGAAATATAGAGTGTTTTTTTTTTTTTTTTTAAAGTGGGTTAAATAATTAAATGCAAACACACACACAGTGCATACAGAAAGTATTCACAGCGCTTAACTTTTGCCACATTTTATGTTACAGCCTTACTCCAAAATGGATTCAATTCTTTTTTCTCCTCAACATTCTATAAACAATACCCCATAATGACAACGTGAAATAAGTTCATTTTGAAATCTTTGCAATTTATTAAAAATAAAAAACAAAAAACACATGTACACAAGTATTCACAGCCTTTGCTGAATACGTAGTTGAAGCACATTTAGCACCAATTACAGCCTCAAGTCGTTTTGAGTATGAAGCTACAAGCTTGGTACACCTATTTTTGTCAATTTCTCCCATTCTTCTTTGCAGTACCTCTCAAGCGCCATCAGGTTGGATGGGGAGCGTCGGTGCACAGCCATTTTCAGATCTCTCCAGAGATGTTCAAATCAGGTTCAAGTCTGGGCCACTCCAGGAAATTCAGAGTCAGCCCGTAGCCACGCCTTTGTTATGTGGGCTGTGTACTTAGGGTTGTTGTCCTGTTGAAAGATGAATCGTTGCCCCAGTCTAAGGTCCAGAGTGCTCTGGAACAGGTTTTCAACAAACAAGTCTCTGTACATTGCTGAATTCATCTTTCCTTCAATCCCAACTAGTCTCCCAGTTCCTGCCGCTGAAAAACACCACATGATGCTGCCACCACCATGCTTCACTATAGGGATGGCATTGGCCAGGAGGTGAGTGGTGCCTGCTTTCCTCCAGACATGATGCTTGGCATTCAGGCCAAAGAGTTCAATCTTTGTTTCATCAGACCAGAGAGTTTAGTTTCTCATGGTCTGAGAGTCCCTCAGGTACCTTTTGGCAAACTTCAGGCAGGGTGCCATTTGCCTTTTACAGAGGAGTAGCTTCCATCTGGCCACTCTACCACACAGGCCTGATTGGTGGAGTGCTGCAGAGATGGTTGTTCTTCTGGAAGGTTCTCCTCTCTCCACAGAGAAACACTGGAGCGCTTTCAGGGTGACCATCGGGTGCTTGGTTACACCTCCCTGGCTAAGGCCCTTCTCCCTAGATCGCTCATTTTGGCCGGGCGGCCCGCTCTAGGAAGATTCCTGGTGGTTCCAACCTTCTTCCATTTACAGATGATGGAGGCCACTGTGCTCATTGGGACCTTCAATGCTGCAGAAAGGTTTCTGTACCCTTCCCCAGATCTGTGCCTTGATACAATCCTGTCTGAGTTGTACAGACAATTCCTTGGATTTCATGGCTTGGTTTGTGCTCTGACATGCACTGTTAACTGTGGGACCTTATATAGACAGGTTTATGCCTATTCTAATCATGTCCAAATCAACTGAATTTCCCACAGGTGGACTCCAATCAAGTTGTGGAAACATCTCAAGGATGATCAGTGGGAACAGGATGCACCAGAGCTCAATTTTGAGTGTCATAGCAAAGGCTGTGCATACTTATGTACATGTGGTATTTTTTGGTTTATTTTTAATACATTGCAAAGATTTCACAACAAACTTCTTTCATGTTATTATTTATGGGGTATTGTTTGAAGAATGTTGAGGTACAAAATTTAATGATTTTGGTATAAGGCTGTAACAAAATGTGGCAAAATGTAAGCGCTGTACATACTTTCTGGATACACAAGTGTGTATGTATATATATATATATATATATATATATATATATATATATATATATATATATATATATATATATATATATATAAAATATATTAAAAAAAAAAAAAAAAAAAAAACAATATTACACACACTGAAGTAATACAACACAGTCAAATGCAAGTTGTAGGGTTTTATTTTTAAATAACCTACACTCGAGTTAATGGCAAATCATGATAAAAATAGGAGATGGGGGGAGATATTCATAAAAGAAAGGATTTTTGTGAACACTCGCATTTATAAGAAAAAAAAAAAAATGCATTACAGGCTCTCCATAAACCCTGTATGACAAATTTTCTTTTCCTCCAATTAAAACCGCCTTTACTAAATATTAGCCAGTCCATTGTGGAATTAGTTTCAAGTATAGCTTTCAAAAAAAGTCCTCCCTGGCAGCCACCAATGGCTTCCAACAGAGTTGTCCACATCTGTAAAGTTCTCCCTATATCTTAGAGTTGCCATTCACTAAGCTTATATGACTTAAGCAACTCCAGGAACAATGGCAAGTACCCCCACTTTTCTGTGGGGTGTCAGTTCATCTCTCTGTGACAAAGAATTCTTTTATACAAAAAGGTTCAACAAGTTTGGTCTCTGTTGTACTTCTACTACAAAAGTACTTTTCACATTAAATAAAATTCTTTTAAAAGCATTTACTGAAATGAAAGTTCAATGTTCCTACAATGGTACAACTGTTTTTGATACTGTTTTTTCTGTTTTTTTTTTTTTTTTGCTACTAAGATACAGGATTAAATACTTAAAATAGTGAATAGATATTGGGCAAAGAGGAAAAAAAAAATAATTCACATTTCTAAAAAGAAAAGTTTAAAATGAAAAGAAAAAAAAAATCCCCTTACAGAAATTGACAAAATGAAAAAAAAAAAAAAAAAAAAAAAAGTCACATTTGTATCCAAGTGCCCAAACCAACTGTGGATGGCTCAGACATGGGACTCCTGCATAAAAACTGGAGAAAGGAAATGCGATATTGGAGCCAATTCATGGAAACTAGAGAAAATGTACACAACTGGAGTTCAGAATCGATCCACTAGCACCTCCCTTCCACCCCCCCCAAGGTGAAACCCAATTCATTGCCAATTTTGTGCTAAATGCTTTCTCCATGAATTAGTCCTATCGTCTTCTCTACAGCAACCTGCATTTTTAGTTCTCTAAATCTACACTAAAGGAAAAAAGTACAGATTAAACCTGATTAGATTGAAGTTTGTTTTCTATGGTAACCCGCTTCCATCAAGAATGCACATTGCATACAAAGTTTCACACGATTGGTTGCTGCGGGCAAAAGACTGCTTCCTGTCCCCCAGTTTTAGACCACAAGGCCCAGATTCACTTTTAATGGGAAAACAGGAGTCAAAGTGACCCCTCAGCTGCCAGACAACACGCCCCCCTCTTTTCAGCAGAACAGTGTAACCAGGGTAAGGGGATATGTCCAGATGAAAGGGAAGGGTACAATTTATAGTTTTCTATTAAAATAGACGTTATCGCAAAAAATCTTAACTGTAAAAACACACAGGATATTTTTTTTTTTAACTCTATTATACAGACTTTTTTGAAAAGCGGATTTTTATGCCTGGTGAAAACCTCCCATCTTAAAACACACATAAAAACAACTTCAGCTCACCCATTTTGTACATATGTATATATAGTTCTTGTCCATGGGACAATACTGAAGGCAGCAAGGGGATGGTAATATTAATATTTTAGTTATAATCCATGTCTCTTTATCTCCCCTTAATCTGCTGCATATCCCCTTCCCATCTTAAAATAAAATTAAGTTAATAAAAAGGCAAGGCTCACAGCTCTCTAGAAAAAAAATAAAATAAAAATAAAACAAAATCCCTTTCCGAGGCGACATCCAGGCTTAAAATAATTAAAAACAAATTAAGAACACAAAAAAATTGTCTCTCGCGCACACGTTAAAACTCATAGTCATCCTCCACCATGTCAATAGCCCAAGCAAACTTCTCTCGCTGTGTTTTGTTGTAGATCTTCTCAATGGGGATACCAAATTTTTTACACCTGAGATCAAGAAGAAATGATTAATCACAGTATCCACATTAAAGATTTTTTTTATACAGAATGTAAAAGCAGAACTTCACCCTTCCCAGCTTTCTTAGTGACCGTTCCATGCAGTTCCCAACTACTGGCTTAGGCCAAAATTAAGTGTACAAGTGGCCACCAGCAGCCTCTTGGCATACCCACTTCCCAGCTCATCACAGTCTATGGTTTTTAAAGTTGCCCACCCCCATGATGGGGCAGCACTTCCACCTGGCAGTACTAGGGTCGTTGGTTCGAATCCCAACCACGGCACCACCTGCCTGGAGTTTGCATGTTCTCCCTGTGCTTGCGTGGGTTTCCTCTGGGTACTGTCGTTTCCTCCCACGCTCCAAAGACATGCTGGTAGGTTAATTGGATCCTGTCTGAATTGGCCCCCAGTATGTGGATGTATGAATGGGACCTTAGGTTGTATGCTCCTTGAGGGTTAGGGACTGATGTGAATGAGATAGATATATATATATATATATATATACACACACACACACACACACACAGTGGGGATCGAAAGTTTGGGCACCCCAACTAAAACTTTGTATTATTGTGCATAAAGAAGCCAAGGAAAGATGGAAAAATCTCCAAAAGGCATCAAATTACAGATTAGACATTCTTATAATATGTCAACAAAAGTTAGATTTTATTTCCATCATTTACACTTTCAAAATAACAGAAAACAAAAAATATGGCGTCTGCAAAAGTTTGGGCACCCTGCAGAATTTATAGCATGCACTGCCCCCTTTGCAAAGCTGAGACCTGCCAGTGTCATGGATTGTTCTCAATCATCATCTGGGAAGACCAGGTGATGTCAATCTCAAAGGTTTTAAATGCCCAGACTCATCTGCCCTTGCCCCAACAATCAGCACCATGGGTTCTTCTAAGCAGTTGTCTAGAAAACTGAAACTGAAAATAGCTGACGCTCACAAAGCTGGAGAAGGCTATAAGAAGATAGCAAAGCGTTTTCAGATGTCAATATCCTCTGTTTGGAATGTAATTAAGAAATGGCAGTCATCAGGAACAGTGGAAGTTAAAGCAAGATCTGGAAGACCAAGAAAAATATCAGACAGAACAGCTCACAGGATTGTGAGAAAAACAATTCAAAACCCACGTTTGACTGCACGATCCCTCCAGAAAGATCTGGCAGACACTGGAGTTGTGGTACACTATTCCACTATAAAGAGATACTTGTACAAATATGGTCTTCATGGAAGAGTCATCAGAAGAAAACCTCTTCTACGTCCTCACCACAAAAATCACCGTTTAAACTTTGCAAATGAACATGTAGACAAGCCTGATGCATTTTGGAAACAAGTTCTGTGGACCGATGAGGTTAAAATTGAACTTTTTGGCCGGAATGAGCAAAGGTACGTTTGGAGAAGAAGGGGCACAGAATTTAATGAAAAGAACCTCTGTCCAACTGTTAAGCATGGGGTTGGATCAATCATGCTTTGGGGTTGTGTTGCAGCCAGTGGCACAGGGAACATCTCACGAGTAGAAAGAAAAATGGATTCAATAAAATTTCAGCAAATTTTGGATGGTAACTTGATGCCATCTGTGAAAAAGCTGAAGTTAAAGAGAGACTGGCTTCTACAAATGGATAATGATCCTAAACACACCTCGAAATCCACGGGGGATTACATCAAGAGGCGTAAACTGAAGGTTTTGCCATGGCCTTCACAATCTCCTGACCTCAATAATTGAAAATCTAATATTATAACCTTTTTGAATTTACATAAACATATTCATAAAATTCAAATACCATAATAATAAAATAAAAATCAAAAAACATCCAATAAAAAGTGTCCCAATAAACAAAAAAAATTGAAAAATTGTCCCAATAAAAACAAAAATAGTGAAAATAGTGTCCAAAAAAATGTCCCAATGTTCAAACTTTATCATCCAGTAGGAAGAAATCCTATTTCATCCCGCGGTACCTCAAAAAAAAAACAAATTTGAATAATCTAGTGCATTACCTTTATAAATAATATTTATAAATAATATATTCACTCCGAAAAACACAAAACACAAAAACTGTGCAAAAACTGTATATATATCTCTTTCGTGCACAAAAAAATTAACTGTGACCACTCTGTGAGCACTGCAAGTGTATCCACCAACACCAATAGTATTTAGATACTATTACCCTGTAAATATACCAACATCCAATGGATCTAAAGATTTGCTCAAAAGAAATTATTCCAAGAAAAGACAAGAAGGGTCTCAAGGCTCATATGGGTAAGAAATTTTTAAGCCACTTACATTAAAATATCATAAATCCAGCTCCCAACATGTTTCGTGTGAGTTCTATCAAACAAAATGCGATAAGCCATATGTTGACAACCCACAAAATGGCCGCGGCGACACTTCCGGTCTGCGTGCGTGCTCAAACAAACGCGTTTCGTCACTTCCGGACTTCATCTGAAGGGATGATCCCTTCAGCCAAGTGACGAAACGCGTTAAGGGTGTGACAAGATGTCGCCGCGGCCATTAACGGCTGCAGGATAGTCACAAACTTTTGCAGACGCTTACCTATTTTTTTGTTTTCTTTATTTTGAATAATTTCTTTGGAGCAAAAAATTAGAAATCTCATTGGATGCATATATTGATAAGAGGGTAATAGTATCTAAATACTATTGGTGTTGGTGTACACAGTATTGCAGTGCTCAAGAGTGGTCACAGTTAATTTTTTTGTGCTCTATATACAGTTTTTGCACAGTTTTTGTGTTTTTGCACGGAGTGAATTTGGAATGCACTAGATTATTCAAATTTGTTTTTTTTGAGGTACCGCGGGATGAAATAGGATTTCTTCCTACTGGATGATAAAGTTTGAACACATTTTTTTGGACACTATTTTCACTATTTTTGTTTTTATTGGGACAATTTTTTTATTGGGACAATTTTTATTGGGACTTTTTATTGGATGTTTTTTGTTTTTATTTTATTATTATGCAAAAAGGTTATAATATTGTATTACTTTCTGGGGATGTGACTTTTTGAGATATTTTGGGGGTAGGTGGATATACACATATTTAATAATTGAAAATCTATGGATAGACCTTAAAAGAGCAGTACGTGACAGACAGCCCAGAAATCTCAAAGAACTGGAAGACTTTTGTAAGGAACAATAGGTAAAGATACCTCAAACAAGAATTGAAAGACTCTTGGCTGGCTACAAAAAGCGTTTACAAGCTGTGATACTTGCCAAAGGGGGCAGTACAAGATATTAACGCAGGGTGCCCATTTTGCAGACGCCACTACAAAGTACATACATACTGTATACATTTTTCCATCTTTCCTTGGCTTCTTTATGCACATTAATACAGATTGTGTCCCCACTGTATATATATATACATATATATATATATATATATATATATATATATATCTATCTATCTGCATAAATTGACGGCGCTACATAAGTACCTGAAGCAAATAAATGATGAAAAAAGGCATGCATTTCAACCCCCTGGTTATGTCAGAAGAATGCAGCATGGGACTAGATATGCTGCAGTGAATCCTCAAGGAGCATTACTGAATCAACAGGTGTGCAAGTATGCTTTTTTTGCAAAATCCAGCTATACAGATCAGAGGTGGGGGGAGCGGGCAAACAGGGAGGTTGAATGAAGCTCCTCTTTAATATAGATTTATTTATTTATTTTTTTGCAACTGTAATATCTGTTTATGTGCAGCAACTGAAGCTAATCAAAAAAAAGGTACAATAAAAAAGTGGAAAATGCTAATAAAATCAAAATGTTAAGCGCCCACACTACTAAAACATTACCCTGTAAAAGGCTGCTACTAAACTAAAAATATAAAAGCTGCTCTTACCAAGCTACAGAGATTCTTGGGTCCAAGTAGTTAAGTTTGGAGGTTCCTAGAGCAATTTGTTTGTTTTCTTCTCTGTCTGTGGCTTGAACCTCCAGTTTCATCAGCTGCTCTTCTATCCTCTGTACAGCCTTCTTCTTGCTTTCCACCAACCTGCAAGAAAATACAAAAATTCCTTTAACTGAAGAGAGATGACCAAGGGGATATTGTGCATTTCATTAGATACCTACAGAATGGTGCATGATGGAGCAGATGTGCGCCTACTCCATTAACCATACCTTATCCCTATAGTGACCACCAGGAAGGCTGCTAGACCCAGGTACCTGGGGTGTGTGCCCCAAGTCTAACAACAACTATACCACAAGCACCGCTGGGCAAAAGGGATCTTCAGCCTGATGGTGTGTGCTTAGTTCCAGCACCAACGTGACTCAGCTGAGCAAAAGACACAGCACAGAGTCCTTTTCTCCCAGGTAAATAGCTAGTGGCATCAGTGTAAGGGGGCATTCTTCTACCAAATGACCATGAAAAGCAAGGTTACATTACATGCTCCTGACCACTGCACTGTATGAGCTGTGTATTATGTTTACACATTACTGCCAACTGCACAAAGATATACATTACACAAACACATTTTACACTGCATACTGCTGCACTTTGTAATCTGTATTAAAGGCGACATATGGGCAAAGTTCTTTAAACTAGCTGCCGACCGCAGATAGCCGAATGGCGGCTGCACTGCGGCCGGCCAGTTCTGGGTGGACGTCATATGACGTCCTCCCAGAACGCGCTCTCCTGCGCGCCCCAGGGGGCACGCACCCGGCGATCTCCGTGATCGCTGTGGCCTACAGACACAGCTGATCACGTGATGTGGTAAAAGGCCAATCACAGCGGCCTTTTACCACGTGATCAGCGGTGTCCAATGACACGCTGATCAGAGGGAAATGCAAGTGCCGGTTCTCGGCTGCACTTTCCCCACGCTGTCAGATCGTGAGGAAAGTACTGCCGAGAACCGGCAGTTGTCAGAGCGGGGATTGGCACCGATCATCAGGGCACGGATGATCAGTGCCCTGATGATCGGTGCCCCGCAGTGCCACCTGCAAGTTCCGCCCACCTGTGCCCAGCAGTGCGCCCACTAGCTCCGCCCACCCATGCCCAGCAGATCGCCCACCCATGCCCAGCAGATCACCCACCTGTGCCCAGCAGTGCACCCACCTGTGCCACTCTGCAGTGCCGCCCAGCAGTGCCACCCACCTGTGCCCAGCAGTGCCACCCACCTGTGCCCAGCAGTGCCACCCACCTGTGCCCAGCAGTGCCACCCACCTGTGCCCACCCACCAGAGCAGCCCAGCAGTGCCACCAGTCAGTGCCCAGGGGTTGTGCCAGTCAGTGCCGCCAGTCAGTGCCCAGCAGTGATGCCAGTTAGTGCCGTCTATCAGTACCCATCATCAGTGTCACCCATCAGTGCCGCCTATCAGTGCTGCATATTAGTGCCGCCTATCCGTGACACCTCATTAGTGCTGTCTATCAGTGCCGCCTATTCGTGCCACCTCATTAGTACTGCCTATCAGTGCGCATCAGTGCTGCCTATCAGTGCCGCCTATCAGTGCGCATCAGTGCTGCCTCATCATCGCACAAAGAGGTTCCACAGGCGCAAACTAATCTCATGCCACTTATTCAATGAGTAAGACAGATTATTACTGTGTATTCCTCTGCAATGGTCAATTTTTTCTTCAATTCCTTAACCACTGCTAATATGGATTAAAAGGAGAATTTCACCGATATTGTATATGCTAGTTTAGCAACTAACCTTGATATTGATTCAATAAACAGGGGAAAGCAAATCAATGAACACACACACACACCTTAAATTTTGCCAACCTTCCCAATCCATGTTATGAATGCCACATCAGTTCTAGATCGTTTTAATTGGATCAGAATACCGATAGCAATGTATTGGAATAGCCTACCTAATCAGATTGACTGAACAAAATTGTGTTGGTAGACCGTCACTACAGTTCCAAATAAGTTTTAAAATGAAATATAATGTGTAGTTTTGTACTACACACACACAAAAAAAAGAACCATCCCACACGTACTTCTTTGTCTTTTCATCCCGTTTGACCTTGGCATCTGCTTTGGCGCTTTTCAGCTCTCGTCGTGCATCTGTTAGCTGATCCTTCTTGGCATCAATCTACAAAAAGAGTAACAGTAGCTCTCAATACTGATCTACACAGTGAACTAAATTGTCCAGTATAAAATGGATTCTGTAGAAACCCTGAGAGGTACTACCTTGGTCTGCAAGTTCATCATAGATTTCTCAAAGGTTTTAGGTGGAGCACGCTGATGGTTACATAATATAGCCACAGCTCTATTGGCACGATTGTAAGACAAGATTTTGGCAGCGACATTATCATCGCCTGTTAAAATAAATGAACAAAATGATTAGACTATTTAAATGCATCAGCTAAATAGGATAGACTTAGAATACTGACAGCGAAGCATTACCATCAATTTTTAGCGAATATCCTAATCTTATAAAACAGTATAACAATGCAAAAGTGACAAAGTCTAAACATAGCCCTGGTCACTGTACCATTTCAAGTTAGGCCCAACTACAGACTGATCATATATGCATTTCAATTTCTTACAAACTAAGTCTTCTTGCATAACAAAAGTAGATACCAACAAATACAGTTTCTGGGAGTCATCAATTATAAATGGCCAAGTGAACTAAATCCACAGAAATTAGAGAGTAGATTAGACACTTGGTCCTGCCATGTGCCCTAAATCCACAGAAATTAGGAATTCCAACTCCTCCTGTCTTTCTAGCACAAGACTACCTATAAATGAATAAAGTGTGTGGACAAGGCTGTGCACATATTTTGCTACAGGAGGCACTAAAGCAGGGGTGTCCAAACTTTTTTCAAAGAGGGCCAGATTGGATGAAGTGAACATGGTGGAGGGCCGAACATTTTTCCAAACATTCTTTGAACCATTACAATTAAATGCAAATAAATTATTTTATGCCAAGTTACCGTATTTTTCGCCGTATAAGATGCACCTGACCATAAGACGCACCTAGGTTTTAGAGGCAGAAAACAAAAAAAAAAAAATTCTGAACTAATGGACTGCAGACACAGCGCAGGGATGACCAGAGACTGCGGACAGCACAGGGATGACCAGAGACTGCGGACAGCACAGGGATGACCAGAGACTGCGGACAGTACAGATGACTGCTGACCTTTGGGGAGGTGGGGAGCGGGTACCTGAATTTGACAGGTACCCGCTCTTACTTCCGCAGTTGTTCTTTGATCTTACCTGTTCCTCGATCCAGCCGCGCGCTGTCTTCCCGGCTTCTGTAATGGCGCTCGGCATGACAGCCGGGTGCCCAGTGCGCATGAGCGAGAAGCACTTGCGTTTTGTGATTGGTCCGGCGGCTTCTGGGATCTGTCATGTGTCCCAGGTACCGCCTTACCATTCACAAAAAGCACCGCTTCTTGCGCATGCGCACTTGGCACCCGGCTGTCATGCCCAGCGCCCACACTACAGAAGCCGGGAGACAGCGCGCCGCTGGATAGAGGAACAGGTAAGGTCCCGCTGCAGAGCTGAGCGGCCGGCCCGGTATTCTGACACGGCCGCGGTGGAAATACCGGACCGGCCGCTCCATATTCGCTCCATAAGACACACTGACACACTGACATGGAGGGCCGTATTAAACCGACCCTCGGGCCGTAAATGGCCCGCGGGCCGGACTTTGGACATGCCTGCACTAAAGAATAAAAAACAGAACCCCCACCAACTCAACATGCAATACAACCAAGAATGGCCATCAGAAACACACACACTTACCGTTTGTGAGCTCCTTCAGTTGCTGCTGTAGGGTAATAGAGGCGTTGTATGTTCTGAACACTTTGGCTGTCAGTCCATCCATCAGGTCCTGAAGGTGTTTGTTTAAAATGCTTGTCTAGGAGATAACAAAAAGCATTACCATTTCTACTTGGAGGACCTACTTTGATATTCAAGTACAACTGGCTACAAACTCAAATCCTGCTTCTCTTCCTCCCTTGAAACTTACAAAAGCCACGAAAAAAGGAGAAAAAATCCAATCCAAAAAAAAAGTTCTGCCCTAAAAAGGCACTCAAGCCAGCATAAGATTTCAGTTCTTCCCACAGACTTCCAGAAGAGTCCATTTTCACAGGTTACTATCTAACTGTAGCTGGTAGTGAGGAAACCACGGGTCTTAAACCACTAAGCACCAGACTGGAGTTTCAGGACACTGGAAGGGGATGTCTTTGCAAATATGGAAAGGGGGGGTGGAATAGGGGCTAGACAATCAGTGGGCCTTAAAGATGGCCACAACAAAATAAATCAAATTAATTATTCCGTCACCATAAACAAAAGTGGATTGAGGAATTTCTTTACCGCTGGGATAGTAAATTCTGACAGCAACTGCAGCTGACCAAGAAAGATTTTCAACATGTCCCTTTGGCATGATTCGGCCTCTGTTGAACAGGGATGGCCACACACTGAATGAAATTCACAGACTTTAAAAGTTATAGTAAGACACTTACATTGAGCCTATCAAACAAGTCATCCTCAGGTTGTTTGTTTTTCCATAAAAAGTTGCAGATTCTTAAAAACCTGAGGTGGGGAGAAAAAAAAAAAAGAAAAAAAAAGAAGGATGTAAAGATATAATTAAAGGATCTAGACTACAGTTGATGCCAGGATCATTCTATCCATGACTAAAACAAGCACTCATATAGGTACATACCCTTTTCTCCACAGGCACCTTGTTGTAGTAGCGGATGGAATCTTTACCGGGGAAGTCAAACTCGACCACATATTCCTGACCATCCATCTCAAGGAAAAGTTTTATATGTTCCACTCTCAATGAGCAGCAGCCTACAGTGTCAGCCGTCTCTCCTTCCTCCTTTTCATTACCAGCTCTCAGAGCAAGCTAAAAAAAAAAGTGTACAGAGGTGGTAGATTACTAGGGCAGCACAGCCAGGGGTAGCATTGGCAACTATCATCTTGGCTAAAGTAAATGTCTGCGAGCAATATCCATCTGTACTATCACCCATGCCATGTATGAATGCTAATTCACTCTGCACTGCTATATGGTACTCTATACTGCTTTTAAAATCCACCTCTAACTGAAGTGGATTCATAACTATCAGTGTTTTTATTGGTAATTCTTACTGCTTCCAAAATCTCTAACTCTGTCCATATTACTGTGAGGTTTATTTTGCTCTTATTGTCCAACCCAAATTTATGAGCTGATCCTAATCTTTACAACTCTGCCCTCCTGCTCTCTTGTAGTCCTCTTCTGGTGTGAGAAGTTTCCCTGCTAGCCATGTGACTCTATGCATTCTTAATTGATTCATTGGCAATACCCCCACCCAACTCAGTATAAAAATTTAGGGTTTCCATAGCAGAGGCTCAGCCAGGGGTAGCATTGGCAACCATCAGCTTGGCTAAAAGTATTGATCGTGGCTTAAGTATTGTACTTCGGCTCTGCACTTCAGTGTATGCACAAAGCGAGAAGCCACAGCAGACAACTTCAAATGCTAATCAGACTATAGGTGACCTGTTTCCCCATCCAGCTCTTTCAGCTTTTACGCAGTCTGCTTCTTCATCTCACCACTATAAAACATGCACACCCTACAATCCTCACAGATGTAAACTCTCTTCAAACTCGCTCACCTTCACCCCTCAGTATATATACACACATACATATACACACATACACTAATATATATACACACCATGTGTATGGCCTGCTTTATGGAGCAGCTGTTATGCTGGTCTTGAATAAGTCAGGGGAGTTGTAAAGACAACACCAAAATGCAAACCTAGTACTGGGTGTTAACTAGAATGGCCAGCATTTCTTTTCCCAAACATCCCATATACCACTGTACTGAACTTAATTTATTTTACAAAGTTTTCCCCAAAACAAAAAAATCCATCAAAGAGTTAAGTGAACACTATTGCTCAATCAACTAAGGCTACCCAAATGACTTGAACTACTACTTCACCTATGCAAGTAAATGCCTCACCTTATCAATAAAGTACAGTGCAACAGCTCTCTGTCTGGCTTTCATTTCCTTGGATTTCCAGTCTTCTTTGTAAGAATTACGGATCTTATCAACACACAACTTCAGCCTACGGGCGGTCTCATATTTCTGCCAGTCCTTCTCTCCCTAAAAAGAAGAAAAAAAATAAAATAAAATTTAAGGCAATTCACCAACTGTGAATTTGCACTTTAATACAACTTCTTTGGATATTATTTTGCTTTTAGTCAGTTTATTTCCAAGAAGCAGGTGAAAGGTGACCCTCAACATTCAAGGGAGCAATTGTCAGACCTCATGCTTTTACAGTGAAAACTTGCAGTTTGTGATTGCCTGCTTAACTAACTGAGAAATAAAGCTTTCACCTTTTTTTCATTTTTTCTGAAAAGGCGAGCGAACACGGTACACCCCATAGTTTCTACTGTACTTATCTCCATGGATGCTGAGCTGTCAGTGTCAATGCAGTCGACGAAGCAGTTCTGGGACATGGAATCCCTGCTCTTCTCTTCTTTCTGCAGCACATCCAGGATGAGACAGAGCGATGCTGTGTGCCAATGCTGACCAATTAGGATCACTCTGATCCATCCCAGAAGTTCTGCAGAAAGGGAGAAAAGGAGGGATTTGAAATCCCCGAACCTGCACTAGCTGTGGGGGCACGGACAGCTCATCACCCACAGAGGTAAGTGAAGTGGGGGCTGGAGATGTGCAGAGGGAGTGTAATGTTAGTTCACTGCTTAATGTTTTTTGGGTAGGTGAACACTTTAAACAGGCAGTCTTCAAAAAAAAAAAAAAAAAAAAAAAAAATTTTTATATATATATATATATATATATATATATATATATATATATATATATATATATATATATATATATATATATATATATATATATATATACACACATACACATATATATATATATATACACACACACACACACACACACACACACACACACACACACACACACACATATATATATATATATATATATATATATATATACACACATACATACATACACACACACACACACACACACACATATATATACTACATATACACACACACACACAAACAAAAAAAAAACCCCACACAACATCCACCATCTTGGCTGGAAGCAATAACTAGGCATAGGCCACAATTTACCAACCCCACATTTGAACAGTATTCAAAACACTGATATAGGCCAGGACCTTCTGCAGTAAAACCATTAAAGAAAAATCTGTCTAAGGCAGGACATAGACGGGTCATTTATCGGCCGAATTGTCGGCCGATAAACAAAAAACCAGTCGCTGCCGCCGAGGATGCTGCCACCAATGTGACAGCAATACGTACAAGGATTGTATATATAAATTTTTATTTTCCTCCTGAATCCTTCCTACAAACTGGAAGTCCGGTCCTAGCTATTATATTTATGTCTTGCGGTTGCAACAAATGTATCCAAATAAAAACATTATGCTATACAAATGGATACATTTGTTGCAACCACAAGACTTCTTCATATAAAATATAATAGCTAAGACTGGACTTCCAGTTCGTAGGAAAGATCCAGGGGGGAAAATTAAAAAAAAATAAAAATAAATAAATAATATATATATATATATATATATATAAAAATTATATATATATATATATATATATATATATATATATATATATATATATATATATATATATATATATATATATATATATATATATAATTTTTTTTTTGTTCCAGTAAAAAGAATGCTGGCAACCTTGCAGGTCACGGCTCATGCGCAGATTCTTTTAATTGGTAAAACGTTCGATTTGCCCATCATTGCCGGGAAAATCGCCCACAAATTTTCCAACATGACTGATAAAAACAACGGTGCAAAAAACCCGAAAAACGGCCAAACAATTAACCCGCTAACAGTGTGAAAATAGTCAGATTTTTTTTTTTTGGCTGAAAAATCGGCCGATTTTCGACCCGTCTATGGCCGGCACTAAAAAATTTATGTTGCCATCACTCATCTTCTGAAAATTGCAGTTGCCCTTGCACTGCGGCTTCCATGTTTCCAAAGTCACTGAACCAGAACCGAATAGTCAGCTAAGTTAGAACAGCTGATCTGCATGCATTCAGCCAGTGCCACAGAATGAATAGAATAAGCACAATAGCCAGTAAAATTTCTGAATGAAGAAGAAGTGAACAGACTACATAGAATTTTTAGAAGCAGACCATTTTTCTTAATAGCCCAAAATCAAAACAGCTTTTACTACCAATGATGTGGACAGATTTTCTCTGAAAGTTAATAGAAAGACAAAAAGGGGTGCCAGACTTAAGTGCAGCATAGAGTTAGTGCGGTTCATTAAAAAGGCATACAATTGGCAACTCCCTAGAGAGTAGAAGTGGCAGGTATATCTACAAATCCTACGGATGTCTCCCCTATGGTTCCGGCTATCAGAATGGTCAGGATAGTCTCTGCTACCGATGGCCAGTGTGGAACACAAGATGGGGCTGGACTGGATGTCAACAGGGAAAATGTGGTAATGTAGAAGTGGGCGGTAATGCGTTTCGAAGCCTCCGCTTTGTCTTCAGGTCTAAGTCCTACAGATGTCTCCCCTATGGTTCCGGCTGTCAGGATAGTCGGGTAGCCTCTGCGTAGCTGAACTGTGGGGCTGGAGCATGCAAGAGCAGCAGTCTGCCACGATGGCCAGTGTGGAACGCAAGATGGCGTCGGACCAGACGTGATGTCAATGAGGAAAATGTGGTGACGTAGGAGTGGGCAGTAACGCATTTCGAAGCTTCCACTTCTTCAGGTCTAAAGCAGGAGCTTCAAATGCCTTACCACCCACTCTTAGGTCACCAGGTTTTGCCCGTTGATGTCACATTCGGTGCGATCTTGCGTTTCATGCTGCCCATCGCGGCAGGCAGACGGCCACTCTTGGATCCTCCAGCCCAACAGCTCAGCTACGAAGAGGCTACCCTGACCATCTCGACAGCCGGAACCATAGGGGAGACACCCATAGGACTTGTAGATATGCCACCACTTCTACTCTCTAGTGAGTTGCCAATTGCATGTGTTTTAATAAACTGCACTAACTTTATGCGGCACTTAAGTCTGGCGCCCCTTGGTCTCTATTACACTTACAGCGGTCCAGGTTTACTCTTAAGGGTGCTGCCGCTGATGCTGCATTATGTTTATATTTTTTTACTTTTAAATGGACTTTCACTATTTATAACCAAACTTCTCCAGCACCAATTCTATTTTTACATTTTCTTCTCTCAGAATTAATGCCAGTTGTGGTAGTTTCATTTTCAGAGTCCCTCTTAGGATATTTCTCCTCTGGTGAGTACAAAGGTAGTGAGATTGTTTGCAGAAGAGGACACATACATAAGTAAGAACCTGATAAAAAGGTTCTAGCCACAATGAAAATGGTTTTTAATCACCATTAAGTTTATTTAGATTATAAGCTCCACGAGCAGGGCCCTCCTATTCCTTCAGTACTTAAATGTATTGTAATTGTATTGTCCCCTTTATATTGTAAAGCACTGCACAAACTGTTGGCGCTATATAAATCCTGTATAATAATAATATTAATAATAATAATAATAATATTTCCCCTCACTTTCTTTGGCAGTGGCCACAAGAACTGCAAGTTAATTTATTGGACAAAGACAAAAACCCTTACCGAAGCTGTAACCCTTCCTTGCTCCATTGCCACCTATAAGTTAGAGCTACAAGTTCTTAAAAACACTGCTCCCCCCCGTCCTCTTACCTATGCTGCTTAGCCTTTAAGAGCTCATTGGAAATGCCTATTCCCGAATCCATGCTATTCCAGTCTTGTGATGTGGATGTTCTAGCTACCTTGGGGTCAAGGAGTGCTTGACAAATGGGCCAAATTTCCAGAGCAATGACATCACCTGCTGCCTTCCATTGCCCCTCCGTTGTCACCAGTCCCACCTCTTCCCTGCAGCAGCTGCTCACTGACACAGGGGAGCTGCTGCTTTTGGATCACTTGACCAAACCAAAGCAGATTCAAGAAAAATGCATTTACAAACAATACACAGCATAGGTAGGAAGGAAAAGCAATGTTTAACTCCAGGATAACTCCAGGGGCAACAGGCAACATGGTGCCAAGCAGCCACCCCAGACCAAGATAGGTCTTACTTAACAATTAGCCGCCCGGCCAATGGCTGTTGGGCGGCTTCAAATGTGTCTCTGCACTCTGGGTGCACGCCATTTGGCGTGCTCCCGCACATGCGCAGTTTGCGCTAATGCAGAGCGGCGCAGCAGTGCGATCTGTCACCGGCCGTGCACCTCGGACACGGCCGATGACAGATCCCAGTACCGGCTCCCGTTGCTGGTACCATGTGACCTGCTGTGACCAATCACAGCAGGTCACACGACAGTTTTTATACAATGGATGGCTTCATTCATGATGCCATCCATTGTATACTAGTGCCTAGCTGTGAATGGTCACAGCTAATCACATGCACATGTCATGTGATTAGCTGTGACCAAATCACAGCTAAGCACAAAAAAAAAAAAAAAAAAAAAAAAAAAAAAAAAAGCTGAATGAATCGATGTCATTCAGGTAAATGCTTGCTTATAGCAAAGTAATTCTTTGCTATAAGCAAATTGTGTAAAAAAAAAAAAAAAAAAATACTGATCACTTCCCCAAAGTAGTACAATGTTACTATGGTAACATTGTACTACTTTGGTCATAGTAAAATATGAAAAAAACATCTTAAAAAAATAAAAAAAAAATGTAATAAAAAATTAAATAAAAAAAAAAAAATATATATATATATATATTTTTTTTTCCATACTGTCACCAGTCAGTGTCCCTGTTAACCGCCATGCCAGTTATATGATGACGCTGTACTGCACTGGTGACAGTATGTAAAAAAAAAAAATTGTGAAAATAATTTTTTTAATATTTTCATTTTCCGAAAAATTATGACAAAAAAATACAACTTCAAAAAACTCGCCATGCCTCTTATGAAGTACGTCGGACTGTCTACTCTGCAAAAAGGTATCATTTGGGGGATCTGTACTGTTCTGACATTCTTGGACCTCAAGAAATTAGATTGGCTGTCAGTACTTCAGGATTGATCAATTTTCAGATCTATACCATAGTTTGTGAACTCTATAACTTTCCTACAAACTAAACAATACATCCTAATTTGGGTTATTTTCACTAAAGACATGTAGCAGAATACATCTCGGACTAAATTTATGAAGAACAATTATTTATTTGTAAACTTTTATAACAGAAAGAAAAATGTGTTTTTTTTTTTTTTCAAAATTTTTGGTCTTTTTTTGTTAATTTAGCAAAAAATAAAAACCCCAGCGGTGATTAAATACCACCAAAAGAAAGCTGTAGTTGTGTGAAGAAAATGATAAAATTTTAGTTTGGGTACAATGTTGTATGACCACGCAATTGTCATTCAAAGTGTGAGAGCGCTGAAACCTGAAAAATGGCCTGGGCAGGAAGGTGTAAAATTGCACGGTATTGAAACGGTTAAATTTGATGGGCTTTGGATCTTTTTCAACATTGCTTAAACTCTTACCTTAATACGTGAACTAGGATTCAACATAATGTACTTGATAGATCCTTGGATGTTTTCCGTCCAGGAGACAAGCCATGTAACTTTATTGTCATGTCTGACTTCCTTCCACTTATGTCCAGAGGGAGCAGGGGGGACCTTTGAGTCTCTGGACAAAATACACAGAATGAGGTCAATACACTACCATAAAGATATATTATTGTAAACTAAACTATTGTTGGCTGGAAAAATATGTATTGTTAAGACTAACCTGCAATTGATGAAATTACCTGATGAAATTTCTAAATCAGCAGTAACAGGTCAGAGCACATTTGTGCACCCGTTTATTGGGGGCATACTGGGGGCATATGCTGCTCTGCCTATAGGTGATAGGACACCAGGGAGTGGCTCCTTAATAGACTATCCCCCCTCTGCTCCTACGTTCAAGCTGCACAAACTAAGTTTGTATTTTAAAACTAAACCAAGTTTATTATTATTGTGAAACTTACTTGCTGCAGTTAATGATGATATTTTCAGGATTGATCCTCCTCTTAAGCTTTCCCATTTTGGGATGATTTCCTCGGCCTCTGAACAAGCCCGGAGGTTCTATCCTGAAATTGGCAATTCTTTCTTTGTGGTTGTCCATGACACAGTAGCCATATTCCTGCACCAACCTCTCATTCTCCTCTTTGATTTTCTAGGCAAAAAAAAAGAAAAAAAGTTTGCAATCTGGCCCAGTGTTGCAACGTTCAAACATTTTTCAAAGTGCCAGCAGAGTTGGCAAAAAAAAAATAAAAAATTTTAACAAATAAATAAAACCTTAAAAAAATAGGCAAAGCTCATGAAAAAGAAAAAAAGAGCAAATCAGGCATTTTGAAGTTTTAATATGGGACATAACAGGAATTCTACTGTAACCCAAGTTACCTGTTTCTCCTGCTTGGTCATCTGCTTTCTGGCCTCAGACTGAGCTTTGAAGTACGAGCTCATATGAGTGAAGTCACACTTGCTCAGGTTGGTGATGAGACTTTGTTCCTCAGATGTCATTTCCTATGGAAGGCAGAATACGGGTGAGACAACATGCCTGCAATGAATACATTTCTCCAGTGAAGGGCAATCATGTTCACCTTCTTCCAGTCTTTATAGAAGTTTTTCCTGAAGACATCTTTTGTAGTGTATTCGTGATCCAACATTTTTGCAAAGAAAGTGGCTACTTCCTCGGCTTTGGGGCTGAGCTTGACTTGTTTACCTGCAGTAAACAAAAAAGTTACCTGGAATTAATGGTCACGGGTACAAAACTGCAAAGTTTACTTTAATGGTCCACCATTAGGGAGAAAAAAAAAAAAAAATGTATTCAGGCAACTCTATGGGGTTGGCCCTGTAGTAGTAGACGACTGTAGGCCATGTATGTAATACTGTATTTATATTTTTCTCCCCATTAAGTGTAGACCAAGCTGTCCAGTAAAAGTGACAGTTACAGAGGTTGGGACAAACACTGCTAGGGTTTCTTAATTCACGTTTACAAAAAGCCACACGAGAAGTAGGAAGGAATCAAAAGTAAAAAAAAAAATGTTATAAAAATTCCTGAAAAGCTTGTTTCTAAATTAAACCTTTTTTGTTTGGATGCAGTAGAAAGGTTTAGCATCTGTCAGGTTTTTACTACAGTCTCTACTGCATTAAACCAAAAAACTTTTATCTTAAGGAAAGGTTTTGCTTCAAGCGTTCAACCCTTATTTCTGAAGAAGTAGCCCACACTTACTTTTTTAAAAGAGGATTTTTAAAGGACTACCTGTTTTTAGGGGTCAGCTGCCTAAAAGACACCTGTGACTACATGCTCATGGTCGGTGCTGCTCACATCCATAAAAGCGCACGTGCCCAACAAGCCATACCTCTGCTCCCTCATCCCAAAAATTTGACTGGCAGCAAGAGGACCCCAAAGCTCCACTGTCCTCCATACCCTCGTCTCCAACCCAGAAGATCTGTGAAACTGTGCAGATTGTGGAAGACCTAGCAGCAGTGAACATAAGCCGCAGGTTTTGGGAACAGAGGGTACAGAAAGGTACTGGGATGTTTACCTTCATGAACTACAAAAATTATTATCTAGCATTTAGTGCCACCAAGTACATTTTTAAATGGGAAAAAAAATCAAATCACAAAAACACAATTTTAAAGGGATACTTCATTAACGCCAAGGGAGAAAAAAAAAAAAAAAAAAAAAGGAGGGTAGAAATTGGGACAGTAGAAATACTAGTCACATTTCTCAAACTAGTGTACAATAAATCAGCAGGGAAACATTTTACTAAGATTGTTCTCTGCTTAAACCCTTTAAAATGGAAAAGTCCTTTAAGTTATGGCTAGAAAATGCTGTGACAATCAAATGGGCAAGTCCAGGGATTCATCAGGTACAACTAAAAGCTACTGTATGACAGTCTACACAAGTCCCAAACCCAGTTACTATGTGGTGCCAGGGGCGGACTGACCATTTGGAAACTCGGGCACTGCCCGAGGGCTGGAGTCAGTAGGGGGCCCCATGAGATGCCCCTGGTACCTTTTTCATAGGCTTTTTTGAGTTTGGGCAAGGACACAGGGGCCCCATGATCCCCTATTGCCCGGGGGCCCCATGAGTTGTCAGTCCGCCCCTGTGTGGTGCACAAGCCTTAACATAATCAAACATCTTCCTTCTTTCCCACATGGAAGAAAAATATATTTGAAATAGATTTAAAAAATATTCTGACCAAATATATTGACATACATTTGAAATGATACAATTTTGGTCATATTCAAAAGCTATCCATCCATATATATATATATTAATTACATACATATACTGCATGTTGAAATGCGTCTTTATAACACAATATATGAAAAATATTTTAAAAAATACATTTCAGATATACTGTAGGTCTTTAAAAATACAAATCTACATTTTTGGAATGCATTTACAAATATATGTTAAAATGACTTTTTTTGTATGTCCAAAAAAAACCCCCAAAAAACTGAAGAGTAGATTTAAAAAAAAAAAAATTATATTTTTAAAATATATTCAGATATTTTTTTTACATATAAAAAAGTCATTTTAACATATTGCATGTTAAATAATGCATTCCAAAACGCAATTCAACAGGATATATATATTTATATTTATTATGGCCAAAATTGTAGCATTTCAAACATAGGCCAATATATTTGGGAAGAATATTTTTAAAATATATTTCAAATATATTTTTCTTCCATGTGGCTTGAGGTAGCCAAATTCACTGTATCTCACATATTCACCTTCCCAGACACTGCAGCTTATGGTGGGAGGGTTTCCAGTAACAGAGGCAGTGCCGTCAATCAAAGCAGTGGGGAGGACTATGTGTAGCCAGGTGCTGAATGACAAGCTACAGGCTTGTGAATCGGCAGTGACAACACCAATATCCCCACCCCTGGCAATAGCTTCTCATGCCGCTGTAGTGAAAAACAGAAAGCTGCATTAGGTGCACATCACTGGCAGGCTCAACAAGCATTTGTTGGTCTTTTCCAGGGCGCTTAAACAGCACTTTTTTTTTTTTTTTTTTTTGTTTTTCTTATAGGAGGCCATAGTTCTTTAACCAGGTCATACCATCATAGTAAAACTTCACATTGTCTGGGACAGGTTCATAAGGTGGAGCAAACACAGGTCCTTTGTGTTCCAAAAAGGTCCACTTGACTCCGTCTGTATGACGTTCCTCCTCCCACCTACAAATAAAAGCCAGTAGATGAGCTGCAATTAAACACTAGAAAAAAATTAAAAAAAAAAAAAAGAAAAGGAATTCTTGTTCCTAAATGTTTCCCTCCCTCTTCCTTAAATTCTGCATAACAGTGCAAATAAAAAAAAAAAAAAAAAAAAAAAAAAAAAAAAATCACAAAACCAGAGGGGGTAGCCGAGTAGCCAAAAATCGCAAAGATGCTGTAGCAAAGTGCAGTATTTGGACTACTCAACATTTTCCGGGATCTGCCCAGTAGGACAATGTCACCCTCAACAAGGCTACAACCAAGCCGCTCCCCTCCTCGCTGCCTACCCATCCCCAGGGGTTTTTTTTTTGGGCATTTTCTTCCAGCTTTTTAGAGGGGAGGGAGGATGTTTAAAGCAAAAAAAAAAAAAAAAGGGGGGTGGGGGGGTGTTTTAGACTGATGTAGTCAGGCAGTTAAAAGGCAAGCGATGCTCCATGTATCCATTTCAAGATTTAGATATGCATCTTTTTCGATGAAGGGATCACTACATAAATTGCACTATATCACTCCAACCATCCCTCTATCTCGGTTTGAATTTTTAAGATCAAGAAATTTTAAATAAATGTGGATTTGAAAAATACAATCCAGTAACTTAAAATAACTTATTGAAAGTAAAAACACAAAAATTGGACAGAAAATAAAAGTAAATATATATGAAATTAAAGGATAAGTTCACCTTTCGTAACACATTACACCCATATTCAATCAAACTGGCCTGCCCGGCCATGTCACTCATTCACAGTGTTCTGTGAATGTGAGACAACAAGTCCTGACAGCCTTAGGGGCTGTCAGCTTGTTAGTCCTCAATGAACTACCACAGGCACTGTGGAGCATGGAAGTTCATTCATTCTTTCCTGCTGATCACTGGTGCAATGCTTTACAGGCTCCCGCAGACAATAATAAATGCACATTTTTTTTCTACCGGCATCTTTCACTAAAAGATGCACTTATTTAAAAAAAAAAAGAAAAAAAAAAGAAAAAAAAAGTTTTTGCACTGAAGTCAATAGGGTGCGTTTTTGCATTGAAGTCAATCATCATTATCTGCACCTTTTCTTCTATTGTAAAAACGCCAATAACCCCATTATTGGTGGCCGATATTTCGGTGCGATAGATTTTATTTAATTTACACACACACACGACATAACATTACCATTTCCACTTCTCCTCCTCCTCTTTTTTCACTTTTTTCCTCTTAACTTCACCCTCCTGCCCTTTGACTTTATTCTTGTTTTTCTTAGGTTTTACATCCTAAAACAAAATACCATTAGGTTATATATCAGCAATAGAAAATCAACATTTTAGCCCAAGGTGAAACTAACTACAGATGCTAGCACATCAGACCAACCCTGTATGAGATGGTTTTTATTTTGGCTCTTAAAGATTTTGGGATCCTACAAAGTCATAGAATTAAAAGACCACTTTCTCAATAAATTGGACATGTTCTAAAAAGGTGCATTTATTTCAGGAAGTTGTTTTTTTTGTGTTAAAAAAAAAAAAAGAAAAAAAACCACACAAAAGGTGTAAAAAAAAAAAAAAAAAAAAAAAAGGGGGACAAAGTTATTCAGGACGGTGTTGGTGCAGATGGGTTTTTTTTATGCAAATAGTTACCACTAAATGCAGGGCTGGTTGCATGGAGCACACTCAGGAGGTTTGGTGCACCAAACATTTAATATGTGCACTAAATGATAGCTGGGGCTCATCTTTTCAAACCCTTTAGCTCAAAAATAGAAATGTACATTAAGTCCCCTGCGACACCCCCCCCCCCCCCCCCCCCCGAAATAAATGAATAAATAAAATAAAAAATAGCTGTAAACTTACCACCTCTTCTTGCTTTCGTTTTTTTGCCTTCTTGCTATCTTCAGTTTTAATTTTTTTGGGCTTGTAATCAGAACTGTGGAAATGATGGGAAAAACAAACAATGTTAAAGCATTACAGCAAGTTAACCTTCTAATGGTTGATAGCAAAAATATTTCGTCCCCTTCCATGTGGCCCTTAGACAGTAGGAGGTGGCTTATTTCAGGAAATATTGTAACCCACAAAAAGGAACATAAACATTGTAAATTGTAAAGAATACTAAAATGTTATTTAGCAGAGTACCAAAACTTTCTGGTATTAGGATGAACTTTGTTTTGCCTATGTAAATCCAAACACACTTTTTTCCACCTCACTGTGTTTAATTTTACAATCAAAACTATTTTTTTTTTACATCTGATAAGGGAAAAAAAAAAAAAAAAAAAAAAGAAAAAAAAAGCTGCTGATCACGTGAAATTCAGAGTTGTCCTGCATCTTTTGTACACTGCCTGCACTCTCTCCCCCTCCTAGTTTTCATCTAGGAATACAGAATGAGTAGTCTTTATGTATACCACTCATTTATTAAAAAGTTTTGTAAATCTTTATAGAAAAACACTGCAGTTATACGTATAGAAAGCCCCCAAAGTTTTTAATCACTGCTAGCGTGATTTTTACCAAAATCCTTGCAATGAGGATGGCTTATATTTGTTTTTAAAGAAAAAAACTGAAGATACAGTTTAAAAGTTGTTTAATACCACTTTAAGAAAAGCTTTGTCAGCTTCAAGGGAACATCTAGAAAGGCTAATTGGGCAAGCCTAAGGATATTCATTCATTTTCTTTTCAAAAGGAATTTTTTTTCCCCCCTCCACAGGATAGTCACAGAGTGATTTTAAACATGATTCAACATGGACAAAACAGACAGAATGGGGTTGATTTACTAAAACTGTAGAGTGTAAAATCTGGTGCAGCTGTGCATGGTAGCCAATCAGCTTCTAACCTCAGCTTGCTTGGTTAGGCTTTGACACAAAAAAAAAAAAAAAAAAAACCCCAAAAAACCAACACACAAAAAAACTGTAACCCGATTGGCTTCTATGCATAGCGGCACCAGATTTTGAACTAGAGTTTAAAGCAAATCAACCCCCATGGGAGAATGAAAAGAAAAGAGAAGAAAGGGGGGGGGGGGGTTTGTGAAAAGGTGAGAGCATAAGAAAAGGAGGAATCTCCCTCCCACCACCAATACCTCAGTCCTAACAATGGCACTACAATGAGTGGAGAGAGGCCACCTGGGTGTGCGTAAGCTGTCCAGGAAGACCAAACCTTTAGGAAATGATGTAATGCCTGCAGGATATCTCAATTTTGTGAATCATGGTGCCCATTAATCTTTGTAGGACCCATTTCATCTGGAGAGGAAGTTGTACCTAATGACCTGCAGTCAAGGTTCTCCTTGACGCTGCTTTTTTTCCCCCCATTCTGCAGATCTGTGCTTTAACCTCTCCTGCTTCAATACCCCACATGGCATCAGACCAGCAACAGCTCTGACATGAGAAAAGCCCTGCTTCTCTACCAAGATGGCTGCCTCCACAAAGAAGCCATGTGAAACAAATGAAATATATGAAATGTAAGCTATTAAAATGTGAACAGAGAAGCTGCAAGGAACCTTTAAAGAGAAATACCAGTGACGTAGTCCTTTGCCCCCCTCTTGCCTGTTTTTTATCAAAGCTTCAACAGATCTGGCACTCTTTACAGTGGAACTATACACAACATTGAATCCAGCGATGCAGTTCCCAGAAATTGCCGCTGACATTGTCAGGCGGACGGCTCCTGGGTTTTGCTCACCAGCCACTGTCGTTGGCTAGATGGAGAGGAAGGAATTTCCAAATTTGCGCAGCTTACTGTATAGGGGTGTACAGGTAAGTAAGAAGGAAAGGTAAGAAGCTTTACTGCAGAAGAGACAAGGCATGTCTCTTCTGCATTAAAAATCCTGCTTGTCTACTCATTTTCATTGTGGAGCCCGAAGTTGTGCTTTGAGGCTTTTGTCAGCATTTGAAAAAGAATGGCTACTTAACTCCCAAAAAAAAAAAAAAAAATTAAGCTTTAACAAACAGTTTCCTTTGCTTAAAATCATAAGTGGTTTTGGCAACCAGGCAGACCTCTGCTTCCCATGATCCTCTCCATACTTACTCTTCATCATCTCTGGATCTCTTCATTGCCTTGTTCTCTTTGGGAGAGAGAGTGTACCCGTCATCTTCTGGTTCATTTTTTTACACGAACAGGACTAAAAACAGGATAAACAGGTCACATAGAAATGTCAAATTAGTTTTCCAATCAGACTTAACCAAAAATATTATAGTAACTGAAATTGAACAAAAAAAACATATGCTTTTAACCACTTCAAGTCCGGACACTTTTACCCCCTTCCTGTCCAGGCCAATTTTCAGCGCTATCACACTTTGAATGACAAGTGCGCGGTCATGCAACACTGTACCCATATGAATTTTTTAGCATTTTTTGAGACTGATAAAGTTTTATTTTGGTGGTATTTATTCACCACTGGGATTATTTTTTTTTGCTATGTAAATGTAAAAAATCCAAAAATTTTGAAAAAAAGTGTTTTATAAAATTTTGCAAATAAATAATAATTCATCATATCTTGGCCAAAATTTATTCCGTTATCTTTTTAGTTAAAAAAAAACCAAAAAAAAAAAACCCCAAATTAATTCATAACCAAAAATTATAATTTTTACACTTTTTTTTTTTTACATACTGTCACCCTAGCAGTACAGTGTCTCCATGGTGAAACTGTACTACTTGTGGGGGGGTGATGAAGATTTTTTTTTTTTTTTTACACCGATTGCTTTTACACCCATAAAAGCTGTAAAAGCAATCATTTATCCTTCTCAATGGCTGCATTCTTGCAGCCATTGAGAACTACTGGGTGAGCTGTGATTGATCACAGCTTGTCACATGGTACAAGGCTGTTGTGAATAGCTTTGTACCATGTGACCTCTGTGATCATTCACAGATTTCACACTTAGTAAACAATGATGTCAGAAGTGACATCTTGCTTACTACTCTGCATGTGATCACTGATTGGCCAATCAGTGATCACATGATCAGGACCTCACACGGACGACGATCGTTGTCCGGAGGACACAGCGGTCACCGGATCGTGGTGCTGGGCGCTCGCAGGGAGCACGCACAAGCAGGGGGCAGGGAGGGCGTTTATAAACAGCCACCCGACACTGACCTGCCACTGGAACCTGTCAAAATTACAGGAGTTGCCCCAGTTAAAATAATCTCACAGGTGATTGACAGTGTACAGTTTAGAAACTTATGTAAAACTAAATATTGGAGTGGAGAACAATCTTTCATCAGTAAGCACAACTACAGAACAAAGCAAATGTCTTCCTAAACCCATTTATGACTGGTCCTCTTTACCCTCTTCCTAGCTGATGACAATCTTTTTATATATATAAATATATATATATATATATATATATATATATATATATATATATATATATATATATATATATGCATATATGCATATATATATATATATATATATATATATATATAATATATATATATATATATATATATATATATATATATATATATATATATATATATATATATATATGCAAACGCAACCTTCCCCTCCCTAGGGAGACCATGCCCTATACCAACACAGGCATGACAGCTAAAAAGCAGACCTCCATCTAGCATCCCACTTAAGACATTGTAGCAGATTAAACCCTACCCAATTCCATAAAAAAATATCAGTTTTGAGTGGGGTTGCTTTTCAAGCTCTTTGTATTCGTAGCACAAAATGTTCCATCTTACCTGGAGAAGCCATTTTCTTTTTTTACTTTTCCACTGTCCATGGAGGATTTTAGCTGTAATACAAAAAGTTTGAAAATATATTTTATTTAGCCATCTTCATGACGTTAAAACACAAAAAAACATCAAAAGAACCTATTAGAAGAATCTGTTAGGATTAAACTAGGGCTACCCCAGTCATTTCAATAGTTTATTTTGCAGTATTAAACCAGTAGCAGCCTTCTCTTCTCGGGTCCCCTGCCAGCACTCCTGGCTCCACCCCCCATAGAGTGACCCCATAGGAAGCCACTTCCTATGGGGGCACTCATGAATTCTCGATCCTGAGCTGGGCCATTTGCATCTATTCAAAAGCACAGGCGGGCTCAGATTCCCACACGCTCTACTCACAGGTTTAGACCAACAGCAGAAGCCAATGGCTCCTGTTGCTCTCAGCCTAGCCTGTGAGAGCCAGGAGAGGGACTGCTGCAGATGTGCACAGAGTTGGATCAAAATCGGGCTCAGGTAAGTATCTGGGGGCCATGTGGCAAAAAGGAGTGCTGGGTGAGCTATTGTTAAAAGGCTTTTTAACCTTCATACAGAGAACGCATTAGGGTAAAAAAAAATAAAAAAAATAAAACCACACACCTTTTACCTTTACAACCACTTTAAATCATTCAATTAATTTAGGTTAGACTTTTTCTCCTCTGAAAATTTATGCGCGCGCAATCTTCAGCCTCAGTACAAGTTTAGCAAACCGAATACAAAAGCCTTCCCATTTATTTTAGTTTTAAATGATTAATAAAATGTACAACTCTGTACTAAAATTAAACTGCTCTATTATGTAGCCCAAAACAATAAAAAAATAGTATGACTCGAGTGCCCCTGCAAACCTTTGTCAATCAAATCAGCATGTAAAAAGACTGGTGCAAGACAGACCGAATCAACCTGTCAGTCTTCAGTAGACTTCAACAAAAACGGTGCCCGTCTGCACACAGACTCCCTGTTGCATAAATGTAATAATATGGGTAAAAGATGGCTTCAGCTCCTGTTCTCAACCTCTAGAGAACTACTCAGAGGCACTTAATCACAAACAAAACCCTCAGTTTAACACAAACTGTTAGCCAGGGCCAAATTGGTTGTTTTGCAGGCTGGCTGGTATGTGTTGCTGGGAAATTCCTTGTTTGTTTGTAATGTGCATTGCCTGTCCATGTGCACCTTACTGCGAAGGCTGGTTATAGTTTGGGATGGTTGACCTCTTTGATTTAGCCCTGAAAAAGGGGCAAAATGCATCTGAGGAGTTCTCTACAGGTCAAGAACAGGAGCTGAAGCAATCTTTTACTAAACTGCTCCATCATTATTAAATGAGCCCACAATAATCAAGGCTCCAACTGCTGACTCATGCTAACCATATACCATTTGCTAGCAATTGTAAAGCCCAGTTGAATTTGGATATGTAGTCACTTTGTGCCAACAGCTTCCATTTTTAAAGTCCTACCCCCACTTTTCTGTTACAATAGCTGTGTAGCATCCACATGTGACCATGCAGGTCTACAAGCAACAGAATTTGACTAGTTTACATTCCCGAGAGCAGGGGATTAGACGCACCACTACAAACACTTCTCTGCTATACAACTCTTTGCGAAGACATTGGTGGGTGTGGCTGTTACTCAGCAATGCCAGCATAGAGCACTGCAGTGTTAGGAAGCAGAATCTTTGCTAAGAGAAAACTTGACCAACTGCCCATTGACTATGTAAGACCATGATGGACCATCATAGGCAAAAAACGAAGCCTACAGTTAAGTAGGTTAACACATGACCACATACCTTTTCTTCCTTTCTTTTTTCCTTATCTCTGTGTTTTTCTTTATGCTTTTCCCCATCCTTATGCTTATCCCCATCTCTGCGCTTTTCTTCCTTATCGCGATGTTTCTCACCATCCTTGTGTTTCTCACTCTCCTTGTCTCGATGTTTCTCACCATCCCTGTGCTTCTCGTTCTCCTTTTCTCGATGTTTCTCACCTTCCCCTTGCTTCTTGCTCTCCTTGTCTCGATGTTTCTCGCCATCCTTGTCTCGATGTTTCTCACCATCCTTGTCTCGATGTTTCTCACCATCTTTGTCTCGATGTTTCTCGCCATCCTTCTCCCGATGTTTCTCCCCATCCTTCTCCCGATGTTTCTCCCCATCCTTCTCCCGATGTTTCTCCCCATCCTTCTCCCGATGTTTCTCCCCATCCTTCTCCCGATGTTTCTCCCCATCCTTCTCCCGATGTTTCTCCCCATCCTTCTCCCGATGTTTCTCGCCGTCTTTGTGTCTCTCACCATCTTTGTGTTTGTCCTTGTGTTTCTTTTCAGAAGGATCTTTGTGCTCACTTAGTGAAAAAAATAAAATAAAAATAATATGATGAATGGAGGTAGATGAAAGATATGGGGAAACCAAGAGAAACTCACAATCGAATGCTATGATATTTTGTATCCCAAAGTCACTGAAGCCTAGATGTCCAAAGCCAAAACTGAACAGCATCCTATAACTTGACTTACAGCTCATCAATTTGCAAGATCTAAGCAGAACAGTAGCATTTGGCCTGAATACAACTAACAGCAGCTATTTGGACATGGCATAGCCAGCATTAGAAGTGTTTTTTTATCCCCTGGAGTTTCACTTCAGGTTAATGATTAGCTTCTGACTGAGGGTCTAAAGAAAATAAATAAATAAATAAAAAAAAATATGATCTGCACTCATTCATTCCTAGAGAGCTTTGTACTCTGCTCTATGGGGATGAAAGGAGAATGCATGCACAAGCCTAGCAACATCTTGGCAAAGGGCTGTGCAATCCACTCCACAATCTCTCACTGACTTAGACATAAATGACTGGAGGAGGCAGAGACTACAATAAAAAAGGGCCAATTCACAATATGTGCTTTGATCTGCATAGACCAAACACAGGCTCAAAGCAAAAGGCTCATCAAAAACAATAGATTTCCATGTACCCTGCTCACACCATAACACTGCATTGAGATGTATTGCAGTGCAATGCAAAAAAAAAAAAAAAAAAAAAACAGTGTAAACAACGCAACACACTGCCCTACACAATGCACACACATTTCACAGGGCATAATGTGTACAGGTGTGTGTAAAATGAACTCCAAGTAACTAAAAAGTGTACCTTTTAAGTTTATAAAACCACTTTTGCAGCTTAATTGGGATATCACCCACTTCATATAGGTTTTTCTCAGTCACACAGCATAATTTCTTCAAACTTCGTGTTATTTATGGCAAACATAGCTCCCCAGCCCATTCCTGAACAAAGGACTGTATGCATCTCATTAGTTGTAAGCTAGATTTGAACAATGTCCTAATGCAGGCCATAGACGGCTCGAAAACTGGCCGTTTTTTTTCGTCCGATAAATGAAACATCGGTCGTTCGTTAAACCGACGTAACCACCAATTATTAAGAAAAATCGGGTGACCAAGTCATAAAGTTCACCCCATATAACAGGCAAAACTTCTGTTCCTTCCAGGTCACGGCGCATGCGCATATTTTTTCGTAAAAACGATCGTACGATTTGACCAATCATTGACGCGAAAATCGGTCGTTTTTCACAAATTTTGCAACATGACAGATAATCCAAAAGTGGAAAAAACGCAATAACTGGCCGACCAATTAACCCACTAACAGGGCGAAAATCGGCGATTAATCTTTTGGATTAAAAATTGGCCGATTTTCAAACCGTCTATGGCCAGCATTAATGTTTAGACGCTGTCCTTCTGCATTGTATGTTAATGGAAAAGATCACACTAAAAAAAAACAAAAAAACAAAAACTTAGGTAAATATATTTCTAAAAGGTGCCATTTATATGAAATTTTCACATGTCAGGAACAACCCATGCAATGAAACCAAAACAAATGAAGTTCAGAAATTAAGTTTTGTGTAATAAAATGGAATGACACTGGGAAAAAAAAAAAAAAAACCAGTATTGAACACATGTAGAAAAGGGAGGTCCAAAAGGCATGGAAAGCCAAGACACCAGCTGAAATCTCAGTAATTAGAAAGCAATCCTTCCCCTTGTCAGCACAAATTAATATCAGCTGGTTCAGTCTCAACTGATGGCCTATAAAAAGCGGTTTCATTACCAAGGTGTCAAACAAGAAACATCTCATGATAGGTAAATGCAAAGAGCGCTCTCAAGACCCTCGCAACCTTATTGTCGTAAAACATACTGATGGCATTGGTTACAGAAGGATTTCTAAATTTCTGAATGTTCCAGTAAGCACTGTTGGGGTCATATTCCAGAAGTGGAAAGAACATTTTCACCATAAAATCAGCCACCACCAAGTGCTCCTCGCACGATTTCTGACACAGGAGTAAAGAGAATTATCAGAAGAGTTGTCCAAGAGCCAAGGACCACTTGTGGAGAACTTCAGAAAGACCTGGAATTAGCAGGTACAATTGTTTCAAGGAAAAAAATAAGTAATGCACTCAACCGCCATGGTCTGTATGCACGCTCACCATGCAAGACTCCATTGCTGAAGAAAAAGCATGTTGAAGCTCGCGAAAAGTTTGGTGCACAACATTTAGACAAGCTTGTGAAATACTGGAACAATATAGTCTGGTCAGATGAGACCAAAATTGAACTCTTTGGATGCCATAATACACGTTTGGAGGTCAAATGGCACTGCACATCACCCCAAAAACACCATCCCAACAGTGAAATTTGGAGGTGGGGGAACATCATGGTGTGGGGCTATTTTTCAGCATACTGTACTGGCAAGCTTCAGATCATAGAAGAAAGGATTAATGGACAAATGTACTAAGAAATTCTTGATAAAAATCTGCTGCCATCTACCAGGATGATGAAGATGAAATGAGGGTGGACATTTCAGCAAGACAATAATCCCAAACACAAAGCCAAGTAAACTCTCAATTTGTTTCAAAGAAAGAAAATAAAGCTGCTAGAATGGCCCAGACAAATCACCTGATTTGAAGCCAATAGAAAATCTATAGAAGGAATAGAAGAGGCACACAGAACCTTCAAGATGTGAAGACTGCTTGTGTGGAAGAATGGGCCAAAAAAAAAATAATCACACCTGAGCAATGCATGTGACTAGTTTCTCCAGATCGGTGTCTTGCAGCAGTCATTACCAACAAAGATTTTGTGCGAAGTATTAAATACATTTCAGTTAGTGTGTTCAATACTTTTTCCTTGTGTCGTTCCATTTTATTACATATCACTTAATTTGAACTTGTTTTGGTTTCTTTGTATGTATGGATTACAAGGGTTGTTACCGATCGTTGTGGTGAAAATTTCATGTCGAATGCACCTTTAGAAATATTTATTGAGAAAAATGGTGAAGTGTTCAATGCTTATTTTACTCAAAGTATATTTTAGGAAAGGGCTGAGAGTACAGTGTACAGTGCATATAAAAAGTCTACACACCCCTGTTAAAATGTCCGGTTGCTGTGATGTATAAAAATTAGACAACCTTTAATGTGACCTATAAACTGTACAACTTAACTGAAAAACAAACTGAAATCTTTGGGGGGTGGTTGTATAAGTGTGCACACCCTCTTATAACTAGGGATGTAGCTGTGTTCAGAATTAAGCAATCACATTCAAAATCATGTTAAAATAGGAGTCAGTACACACCCGTCATCATTTAAAGTGCCTTTGATTAATTCCAAATAGAGTTCAGCTGTTCTAGTAGGTCCTTCCTGACATTTTCTTAGTCGCATCCTACAGTGAAAGCCCTGGTTCGCAGAGAGAGCTTCCAAAGCAATAGAGAGATCTCATTGTTAAAAAGGTATCAGTCAGGAGAAGGGTAAAAACGAATATCCAAAGGCATTAGATATACCATGGAACACGGTGAAGACAATCATCATCATCAAATGGAGAAAATATGGCAGAACAGGGACATTACCAAGAACTGGACGTCCCTCCAAAATTGATGAAAAGATAAGAAAACTGGTCTGGGAGGCTGCCAAGAGGCCTACAGCAACGTTAAAGGAGCTGCAGGAATATCTGGCAAGTACTGGCTGTGTGGTACATGTGACAACAGTCGCCCGTATTATTCATATGTCTGGGCTGTGGGGTAGAGTGGCAAGACGGAAGCCTTTTAAGAAAAACATCCAAGCCCAGCTAAATTTTGCAAAAACACATTTGAAGTCGCCCAAAAGCATATGAGAAAATGTGTTCTGGTCTGATGAAACCAAGGTTGAACTTCTTGGCCATAATTCCAAAAAAGATATGTTTGGCGCAAAAACACTGCACATCACCAAAATAACACCATACCCATAGTGAAGCATGGTGGTGGCAGAATCATGCTTTGGGGCTGTTTTTCTTCATCTGGAACTGGGGCCTTGGTCAACGTAGAGGGAATTGTGAACAGTTCCAAATAGCAGTCAATACTGGCACAAAACCTTCAGGCTTCTGCTAGAAAGCGGAACACAAGGATGAACTACATCTTTCAGCATGACAACGACCCAAAGCATACATCCAAATCAGCAAAGGAATGGCAACACCAGAAGATTAAAGTTTTGTAATGGTCCACCCAGAGCCCAGACCTGAATCCAAAAAAGAAATGTGAAAAGAGAGATTCACAAGAAAGTGGTTACATTTTGGACAGAATGCGATACTCAAAGTAGTTCCAAAAATTATGCTTTATTACACATTATATATGTGGACAATTAAGGCAAATACCCTGATTCACCATCACCTCAGTATGAGATACTACAAGAACAGACCTAAAAAATCACATAAAAGCAACATCAAGACTGGTCTTCGTAATAATGTGCTGCATATATAGTGACAAATACCTGTCTAATACATTTGAAGCACCAACACATTGGTTACACCACCAGGTAGGGGGTGTATCAAACAACTGTACCCTATAGGTATGACATACTAGGCAATTATGGCTGATAACAGGCACCAAATGGCAATAACATTATTACCCATAAACCTTGCAGGCAATGTGGGTGAAAAAATTGAAAACATATTGGGAAGTGGACGCCTCTATAATAACCAGATAAGGTATTGCAAAAATTATTATTAACGCAAGGAGATGCCCTCACAATCTGACAGATTTGGAGTGTTTTTGCAAGGAAGAGCGGGCAAATTTTGCCAAGTCAAGACGCGCCATGCTGATAGACTCCTACCCAAAAAGACTGAGCGCTGGAATCAAATCAAAAGGTACTTCAACAAAAAGTATGTTTAAGGGTGTGCACACTTCTGCAACCATATTTTAGTTTTTTCTTTTTACTTCCCTCCATTTAAAAGAGTTCAGTTTGCTGTTCAACTGAGTTGTACAGTTTATAGGATACATTAAAAAGGTGGAAAAAGTTCTGAATTTATGTATCTTAGTCTAATTTTTTTTTACATCACAGAAACCTGACATTTTAACAGGGGTGTGTAGACTTTTTATATCCACTGTAAGGTACTCCTCTGAGTTGAGAGTACACACTTGAGAAGCTAGAGTTTAGGGTCACTTTATCCTCCTCTTTAGGATCCAAAGCATTCCAAGCTTTGAGCAATGGACCTATAACAAGCATTCAGATCAGAACCTCCTTCTGACTGACCAGGAAATATCCGATTGCCTCTTGGGGGATCAGGAAGGAATTTTTTTTCCCCAACAGGTGCAAATTGGATCATGCTTTGCTGGGTGTTTTTTTTTTTTGCCTTCCTCTGGATCAACTGTGGGTGTAGGATTATAACTTTTTTTTTTTTTCCTATGGTTGAACTGGGTGGATTTTTGTCTTTTTTTCAGTAGGACTAACTATGTAACTTCACACTTAGTTCAGAAGTTCATAGTACTTACCCCGGTATATCAACATGATATCTAGGCAAGCCTGGTCTAACCAAACAAAAACCTGATTTAGGCAAAATGAACAGTATAATACAATATAATATTCTAAGTCTGGCTTGACAAGGTAATACAGTCACCAACCACAACTAGTTTTAGTGCACTAAAACTATTTGTAAGCAAATCAGAAGCCATTTTTAATGCTATACTGTATGCCCAATGTAATTAATGGCCTGATAGAAATGAGAATTTTGACCTAATTTTTTCCCCTTCCAAACATTCCTCCCGTTGTCCCAACTATACCACAGGCAGCTTCCGCTGCTGCTGTTTCTCGAAGGAAAAAAAAAAAAAAAAAAAAAAACCACCACACACTACATCCTACCAATAAGACCTGGCCTATATACTGATTAAGATCAATTAAACTGATCAATTGGAAGAATTTTCATCTAGTGCAGTCACCTGTTATTGTGTTTGGATTTCTCACGGTCTTTGTCCTTCTTGTGTTCTTTGTGACGATGTTCCTTGTCTTTCTTATGTTTATGGGAGTCTGCCAGGTGAAGAGAAGGATATTAGAAGACCACAGAAATAAAATTCAGTTCTTGCAAACTTCTAGCATGTATTGGGATTTTAGAATTCTTGCAAAACGTACGTGGTACATGGAATGCAGGCGTTTTTCCTATTCATAATCCCAACGGAAAATAAAAAAAATTAAAAAAATCTACAGGTTTCGTTTAGTTAAAAATACATCCAGTGGTAGAGGTAGCTTGGGATACATCAAACAGGTTCAAGAACCATTTAATCAAAGCATCTGAAGATCTAACTCGATTTAATTTACTACATATTACCAGTCCTTTTTGTGGTAAGTCACTCCCTGTATTGTATTTATGGATTAGCAGCCTTGTTACCCAGGACAGTTGGGTATTTTTTGCACCTATTGGAGAAAAGAAAAAAAAAAAAAAAAAAAAAAAAAAAAACTCCCTATCAACCTATTTTTAGGCCATTCACTTGATCTCCCCTGCATCAACCATCACCAGCTGCAGAGGAGAGCGGAGAACGATCAATGGCTGTCAATGACTGAGAGCAGCGACACCACCCAAAGGTTTCCTATTGTCAATTTGCCCATTTATTGTCGCCACTCCTTCCTCTCCCCTAGAGATGCTGACATAGGTGAGCCAGATCATATGACGTGACCAAAGTGGCCTACAAACAAATATGTTAATCTTTCCTACATAGGTTAGTCAAAATAGGTGTTGGGTTGGGGGATGGAGAAGTTTTAAGATTAGTTAGGTTTAGCATGGAATTCTACTAGTTAAGAGGAGATATTTGACTAACCATTTCCAGATTAACCAACCACGTCTAATAAAAGTCTAAGGCTACGTTCACACTAGCCTTGTTAGCAAGCAGCAGACAGGCGTTTGGGAAACGGTAAAAACGCTTCCCAAACGCCTGGGAAAATTCTGCACATTGCAGCACATAGTGCTGTTCAAACAGGAGCGTTAGCGTCGCGGCAAAACGGCACATGCGTCTGCAGAGCTTTAAAAACGCTCTGCAAAAGCTGGACCAACGCTTGTCAAACGCTATAAGGGCGTTTGGCAAGAGTTGGAAAAACAGTCAATTGTGAACGAGCCCTAAGACCTCTGCAGACACCAAATCTCAAGAGGGAAAAACGTGTGCAGCTGGCTTCACAATGATGCCATGGTTGTCCTACCAAATCTTTAGAAGTTGGATCCTCAGCCCACCATCTCCTAGCCAAGTCAGTTTTACTTCCATCAGGTCACCAGTGAAGTAATGTGTACTAAATATAAATTTTAATCAATATTCAATTTATGTGGCCAGCTATTTTCCCAATTACATAGGCAATTTGTGCAGTAGCACAGTACACAATGCCAGGCTTCGTTACTTTTTTAGATCACTGGAAGTCTACAGATTTGAAGGGGGGGTTGAAAAAAAAAAAAAAAAAAAAAAAAAAAATTATAAATATATATATATATATATATATATATATATATATATATATATATATATATATATATATATATATATATATATATATATATATATATATATATATATATATATATATATATATATATATTATAAAAAATACACACACACACTAGATCTCAAATGCTTCCATTCTGCCTGTCAAATATTACGTTGACTAATGGTACTGAAATATTGTGGACTACAGTTTCTTTACATCAGTCCCAATATGATCTTGATGACCTACACTGTATGTTCTTGCTACCTGGCCCAAGTCCCAGATCTTGTTCCAAGTTAAACTACATATACAAGGGCCAACAAGTAAAGGTCAACCAGGGCTGTCAATGGGCTTGCACTAGTTGAAATTTATAGTACAACTTATATTGCATCACCACTCAAGCCTGCAAATAGCTGAGCTGTAAGTGATGAACCTCAGCTAGAAACATCCTGGTTTACAGCTATATTAAAAAAAAAAAAAAAAAAAAAAAAAAAAAAGGGAAGAAGTACTACTAGGAACACTTTAGGGCCCCCCAAGTATAGTCCTAGCCAGTTGTCTACAAACTTGCGGCTCTTTGCTTGTTTTTATCCAGCCCTTGGGGCAAAATTCCCCTTCCTTCCACTGACACAAACTATGGGGCACCATTCTTTCCACCGGGAGCTATGGGGAACCATTCTTTCCACCGGGAGCTATGGGGAACCATTCTTTCCACCGGGAGCTATGGGGACCATTCTTTCCACCGGGAGCTATGGGGAACCATTCTTTCCACCGAATACAAAAAATGGGGCATAGTTTACGCTCACTGTGCTCAGTCTGGCTCCCCCCCTAAAGTCTGAAGGACAGTAAACTGACTGTTTGTTCAGAAAGTTTTTGAGACCCCTGGTTTTACCAGATAGACCCATAAGAGTTTTAGTAAAAGTTTCAAGTATATCTAAAGTCAACCTCCTGCCGTACCATTTTGGATAGAGAAAGAATGAATAAAAACTCCCACCACTTTTTGTGATCAACTGTGCTCCACTGGGAAGGTCTCTTCCCTTCCTGTAGAAAATAGGAAGTAGAGGACTTACCTGTCCAGGGATCCAGCAATGTCCTCACCCGAGCAGATTCTTCAATCGGCTTTGGGTCCCTAGTGCTGGCATCTTAAGTAAGGGAAGCTGGCTGTGAAGCCGCAAGGCTCCACTGTCTGTCTCCCGCTGCGCATGTGTGCCATGCTGCACTTTGTAAATGGTCCCACATTATTCTGGGACTTGTGATGTGTCCCAAAAGGCCGGGGGGGGGTGAACGTCCGCTTGGCGATCTGACCGGACATGGGAGTGTGATGTGTCCCAAAAGGCCGGGGGGGGGGGGGGGGGTGAACGTCCGCTTGGCGATCTGACCGGACATGGGAGTGGACACCTGCTCCCCTCTCACCCCCCACAAAAAGGCGCCACTCATTAAAGTGGAGGGGGGGGGGGTGCAAACAAGCAGAGCTTCCCCTTTTGGGTGGAGTTGCACTTTAAATTCTTAAAAAATGGTTTACTGTTAGTAAACAAAACAGTTCTCCTCCCTGTGTGCTTACAGTCCAGCACAAACACAACTTCAAGTAAAACCGCACACAGTTAACCCTTTGATCTTCCCACATGTTAACCCCTTCCTGCCCGGTGCCATTAGTAAAGTGTCAGTGCTTTATTTTAGCACTGATCACTGTATTGGTGTCACTGGGGATGTCATTGACACCAAGTCAGTTCCCCCAGTGTCAGAATGCCCCCCGCAGTCCCGCTATAAGTCGCTGATCGCCTGCCATTACTAGTAAATTTAAAAAAAAAAAAAAAAGCCCAGTGTGTATGTATATATCGCCATTTGTAGATGCTATAACATATAACATGCTATAATATACACTTATTGGGATTTCTTTTTTACGCAGTCATGTAGCAGAATACATTTTGGCTTAAAATTATGAAGAAATAAAATTTTTTTTTGTTTATAGCACAAAAATAAGAATAGCAGAGGTGATCAAATACCAAAATAAAGCTCTATTTGTGGGGAAAAAATTACAAAAATGTAATTTATGTAGTGTCGCACGACAACGCAATTGTCTGTTAAAGTATGTGCCTCTAAGGTTTAAAGACCTGATAATCGTAGCATTTTTATTTTTTTTTTTTGGTCACAACTATGTAGTATTGCCTGAGGCATTTCCACTTGTCACATGCTGCACGTGGCTAGACTACATAAAAGACACCACACACGTTAACTGAATATTTTCAGTCTATTATGTCAACTGCAACTTATGAGTAATTATTAAAATGTTCACCTGAAAAAAAAAAAAAAAAAAAAAAGCCATTTAGCATTTTAACCACTTGCCACCCAAGACCATTCATGGATGTCCTTGAGTTGCAGTGTTCATACCAGGATGAGGTCTGCAGCTAATTAGCCACTGAACCCCTTTTCCAGGCAGCAGTAGGGGTTGCTGCCTTCTCAGGCTCTCCCCTGTCCCACTGGGAAACCCAGGCTGACCATGGAGATCATCGAGGTCCCTGATGATCTCTACAGTATAGGAAATTGGAAGAAACAAGCATTTTTGTAATTTCTGGTTTCCCAGATGTGAACAGCACCATTATTAAATTGGTAAAGCATCTGCTCACTGATCTGGAGACCTCTGGAGTCTAATAGTGCGGAATGCGATTTCCCAAATAGTGCAGGGACGTCCCGGAGCACGTGAGTCCATTCAAATGAATAGGGTCGCAGGCCGCACAGATGTGAACCAGGGGTTAGTTGGGAACCCCAACAGCAGCATATACTCTTCGGTCAGTGCCAAACAGACCAGTAGGTGAGTAAAGGGCATGGGTGTCAAACTGGTGGCCCTCCAGCTGTTGCCAAACTAAAAGTCCCATGAGGCATTGCAAGATTGACAGTTACAAGCATGAATCCCAAAAGCAGAGGCATGATGGGGCTTGTAGTTTCTTAACAGCTGGATGGCCACCCGTTTGACACCCCTGGTAAAAGGAATTAAAGAAAAATACCGCATACGTCTGCTATAGGGGAGCATGTGACTCGCTCCCTTTCATTGCATATGATAGTGCTGGTGCTTGATGATTGCTCAGATGTCAAGGCAAATCATATGGGCTGGGGGAAAGTGCCCATCACATGTGTAAACTTCACATTTCTCCCTCTCTTGGCCTTCATTAGTTGAACAGAATTGTAAGATGTGAAGGGAAAATATAGTGAACGCGTTGCTTTTATTTGCTTGGACAAAGAACTCGTTAATATAAGTGGACAAAAAAAAAGAAAAAAAAAAAAAAAAAAAAAAAAGCAAAGCTATATCCATATACTTGTATTGAGAAAAAAGGAGAGGTAAAGTGCAGTTGCTCAACTAAAAACATACATCCCGCATACTTTCGTTATGAAGAAAAATGTATGAGAACACATACCTTACCTAAAACTATAAATAGAAATGTATGTTTAGCACACGTTTACATAAAGCTAATTGCATTTTCAAGTCTTCTAGATGTGCTTTAAAATGTAGATTGTTTAAAAATATAGACCTTATAATTTAAGAAAATTAATTATCTCTTCTATAGAATGCAAGGAGCTGCATTTTAAGCACACCTGTGCCCTGATTATAGATGGTAATATTCTTAGCACGTTGTAAAAGAGCTTTAGAGGAGTACACAATTAGACAAAGTCCTCTTTATGCATTTGACCCTGTGTGCAGACTGTCCCACAGGATCCATCACCCACTTCGGGATGGTTACATTCCGTGCTGCAAGTCTCCCTGTCCATCCAAGTTAGTCTCTGGGCTGTGTTGATGGCTTCTTAGAAGTCAGTGGGAGTGTAATACACTGGTACGGCCAGCAGGCGGGGCCATGTGGCATAAGATCTGCCCAAAGGCTCCATAAGTACAGAAGCTGTCTGAATACAAAAGCCGGCAAGGGCAGTTCCTCCATCCTCAATGTTTAGCAAGGATGGGGGAATCTGAACCTGTATACCTAGGCCGGGTGTCGGCAACCCGCAGCTCTTTTTCACCTTGGCTGCGGCTCCGGAGCACACTGCCCACCAGGTGACAGGCAATAGGGCAGCAATGGGCAAACTACGGCCCAGCGGACCTTTTAATCCGGCCCGCGGAGCTAGGCTCCTCTCCCCGCCCTGCTAGGCTCTCTCTCACAGTCCGCCCTGAAGACCGGTGTAGCATGAAAACGTCTGTCTCCTATGAGGATCTGTCCCCCTCGACGTATCTGCGCATCTTGGGGACTTAATATGGGGGATGAATTACTATATGGGGGATGAATTACTATATGGGGGATGAATTTTCAGTTTTAAAAATGTGGCTCTCAAAATAAATTTCAATCGTGGTTTTGGCGAGATTTGGCTCAGTTGAAAAAAAAAAAAAAAAAAAAAAAAAAGGTTGCCCACCACTGACCTAAGGCTATGATTGTGATTATGACGATACACTGTGGCCCTGGTTAACCCTTTGCTTACTGGGCCCTTAAACCCCCTTCATGACCAGAGCGCTTTTTGCAATATATGCAGTGTCGGATTTGTTTTAAATGTTGCAATGGTTTTGCGGCTCACAGTCTTTTTTTCCCTCTCGGAAACAGGTCCAAGTGGCTCTTTATGTCTTAAAGGTTGCAGACCCCTGACCTAGGCTAACCGCTTACAAATGCCTACTGATTTTGATTATAATATATATATAAAAAAAACCACACACAAACTTTCAGACACGTGACCCATATTAGGATTAGAGAACCTCCCTAGCGGTCTGATTATGTCCATATTTCTGTGCTCAACTCGGTACATTATTTTGCATGGAAATATGTTTTTTTTTTATATTGTAGGCCTGTAATTTGTAGGAATAACTCACTGAAATCTGTCCGAACAAGAGTCTAGTAAACACCCCGGGTATGATAAAGTTTGAAACCCGAAATCATAAATTATAATTTAATAATCATAAAAAATATTATAATAATAAAATTCAATAATATAATCAAACCAAAAACACTGAAATTTGAAATATAGCGCCAAGTTCGCACATCACTGAGTAAAGTCGCAAAATCGTTTTCAGTGTCTGATGACGAATTTCCCCACGAATCATTATCACTGGTTCTGATTTACTATCGCTGTTCTCTAGCTGGTTTAAAACCGATTTTGACCTAAAGGGACGCTTTTTGGACGCCATGGACGTTTCTCAGTTTCCAGGGAGAAAGAACGGTACAAATGCAGGCAGGGCACAGGACAAAGCACTCGGGACAAAATGTATGTGAAATGGTTTGATACAGTAATGTTTTACTATGTGATTTTAGTGTATTGAGTGAATGTCACTTTTTGTCATTTTCAAATTTCCCGCCGTTCTGTCCCCCGTAGGTCCTGCCGCTCACAGGGGACGGAACCCAGATGACAGATGCCAGCATCCGCCGGATTACATTGCCGGGGACACCGCAGGAGGGACATCGCGGGAGCGCAGGACAAGGTAAGTGAAGAACAGATCCCGGAGCAGCGCCGCATGGTAAACCCGAGTGTAGCTCGGGGTTACCGCTTGTGATACTGAAACTTTACCCCGAGCTACACTCGGGAATACCGCCAGGGGGGATTAATCTGCATTTCCCATAATTGACTGTCCAGTATTAACATGCATTATTGCCAGCATATGAACCGTGATGACGGGCGATCTGTAAGCCCCTGAAATACATTGGATTTTTACCTTGATGTTTTTATTAATAATGGAATGAATTGGTGTGGCGCTCCAACTCTTCCAGTACCCTTAGATTGTAAGCTCCAAGGAGCTTACAATCCTATCCCTCTTGTATTGAACTGTATTGTTGCTGTATTATCTCCCGTTATAATGTAAAGCGCTGAGCAAACGGTTGGCGCTATATAAATCCTGTATAATAATAATAATAATAATACCCTGCATACATTAGAAAACCAGTGAGCTGTCCTGATTCTGCTCTTTATATTATTATTATACAGGATTTATATAGCGCCAACCGTTTGCTCAGCGCTTTACAATATAACGGGAGACAATACAGTTCAATACAAGAGGGTTAGGAGAGCCCTGCTCCCGGGAGCTTACAATCTAGGATTTTATAGAAGTGAGCTGTACTTTTAAAGTGGTTAAAAAGGCTGAAGGTTTTTTTCACCTTCATGCATCCTATGCAACGCAGAAACAGCTCAAAGGCACGCTGCATAGGTGTGAACCTAGACTGAAAGGAGAAGCAGCAGCCCAATGAGTCCATCTACCGCTCTGTTTCCTCCTATCGGCATGCTTCTCATTAGCCCCTGAGAATATCTGCATACCCAATTGGCATGCAGTACATGGATTTAGGTTACCAAATTCAGCGAGATTTCACACAGAAGCTTTCTTGAACAAAAACATTCACAACCGATACGGATAGAAAGACTAGCTAGACATCTTGGCCTTCAAATCTGAGCTTAGGTTTTCCCAATGTATCATGCAAAGTCAAACAAACATTCTCAAGCAGGGTTCCCCCCAGAGGTTGCTAGGGGGTTCCTTGAGCTGTGGTCGAGTGACCTTCTATCTGATGGTACTTGCATGGCTCTGGATCCAATGCCACTTGGCACAGCCAGCGAAATGACATCAATGGTCTATTTTTTTAGCTGGTTGTAAGGATGGCATTCTTCATTTTAATTTGTGGTTTCCGGAGGCCTGAAGGGGCTGCTTTTGGGTGAAAAAAAAAAAAAAAAAAAAAAAAGCTGTGCTAAGTAGTGTGTTTGTAAATCACTTACAGGTATTTTTTTTTCTCCACGGAGGTCACAGTACTCCCCCTGACAATACCTTCATCTGCATTTCTCATAGGAATGGTGCATCTGTTCAGGAATTCTCCAGGGTCAACATTAGCTTCTTTGACAGATGTGCTTTCTCAGCTACAAGAATCCCACTTCTTGTTTATTTCATGACTTTAACAAATGTATGACACAGATCAGCCCCTGCTGCAGCTTCCCACCTTGTGGTTTGCTATAATTTTGCAGTCTGATCGATAGGAGAGGGGAGATCAGACTTTCCCTGCCTGCAAAAGACTGATGGTATCACAGCCTAAGCAGAATCTCTTAACTGGAGCACGAGTTCTACTTTGTAGTAGCTGGCAGGGCTGTGGGTAAGGGGGTACCACTGGTCCTCCTGCACGGGGCCCAGGCAGCTGGGTGAATCAGATTTGGGAAGGAAGGGAGATAGGAACAGTGGGGGGGGCGCAATTACTGGAACTGATCCCCTGCATGGTTCGCTCTGCAGCACCTCCCGGTGCACCATAAAATGTCCACTGCCTAAGCCCCCCATCCCTTACTCTCCTTCCCAGCTGCAAACATACTATAAGAGCCTCAGGATGAAAAGTGGTGGAAGGGTCCTTAAATATGTCCCTTTTACCAGCCCCTTCTTTTCGTGAATGAACACGAGTGATTGGTATCGATCACTCACTGTGTTCAATCATAACTGAAGCACAGTAAACTTTTATTTGGGGGGCCCGGTCACATTGGCTGTACGGGGCCCCGTGGTTTCTGACAGCAGCCCTGATAACAGGCACAGGTTAATTGACCTCCACTTTACTGTTCATTAATATTTTAAGATGGTTTCATTATATTCTTCATTATCAAAAATTAAACAAAAAAAAAAAAAAAAAAAAAAAAACCACTAGAAAACAAAAAACATTGCAATAATCTATTCTGAACATTTACAGGATTTCATTGACTTTCGATTTGTTTTGCTGGTAAAGTTCAGTTGATCATGTGCTCAACACACTTTTAATGTGAAGGGACAACTGCTTATTTTGAGCAACTTAAACAGAACATTGAGTACTGAGAAGTTCCGAAAAGTACTTCAGTTGTTTTAGGACACCAGTTTAGATTCAATGATAAAAAGCACCAACAGCTGTTCTTTATTAGGCTTCAAGTACACAAGCAGCTGATAAACTCAAGTTTGGAGCTTTTGGCATTTTTTTGCCAAAGCTCCTAAACTCAACTCCATAAAAGTCTGTGTCCGTGTACACACAGGCTTCTAGCAGAGTTCAGGAGCTGCCGCGTTTAGGCGAGGTTAAACCTCCCTCTCCTGAACGTGGAAAAATCGTGTTCAGGATAGGAACGTTTTGACCAACGCGGCAAAATTGCGGTACCGCGGCTGCACGTTTTTCCCGCGGCCGGTGGTCAGGGTAGGCTCATGTACATGGAGCCTTAGATGTCATGTTCTTTGCAAGCCAGTAGTTATAGTAATACCAGATTTCAATGACTCAAAGCACATCTACTGTATAGGAATAAAAGATAGTTGCGCACAGCTGGAGATTCAATCATTGTCGTCACTGGAAGTACCCATCTCTTGGGAGCAGGATTGCTTGTTTTTGACCCCACAGACATATGGGAGTGCCACACTCTTTGCACTTTTTTTTGGTGCTCCTATTGAAATCTATGGGGCCAAAAACATCCAAATCTGAAAAGAAGCTCTTGTACTTTTATCTACAACAGGTGTGAACATGCACCATTTAAAACAATGGATTTTTAGGCTCCATTCACATTGTTTTATAGATAAGTAACTTAATGGATATTTATGTACAAACTTTTTTTGTTCTCTTGTATATGTACATTTTTTTACCCACTTTGATATAATTTTATAGGAAGTTTGCCTATTTTGTTTTTTAAAATAAACTTCATTTTAAGTTATCCATTAGACAGTGTAGATCGATTGTTAACGTCTAAAATTATGCATTTAACCACTTCCCCGCTGCCCTATAGCAGATATATTGCTATAGGGCGGCAGGGGTGCGCTATAGAGACAGACAGGCATGTGATTTTGTATTTCTGGGTAGGGGGCGCGCACCCTACGCGTGCCTCCATTCGCGGCAGTCAATCACCGAGTCCTGACCGTTGATTACCCGCCAGCACCCGGTGATTACCCAGCATCTCCGACGGGAAGGAGGAGTGCTTTGTTTACCAACAGTCCTTCACCCTGTTGGCTTGAGTATACTGCTCTGGACGGCTGTGCACAGCACAGCCATTTAGAGCAGTGTGTTTTCAGTGAAGCACCAACACACCGCCCCCCAGTAAAACACTCTCTGCACACAGTTAACCCTTTGATCGCCCCAGATGTTAACTCCTCCCTGGCCAGTGCCATTAGTAGTGTCAGTACTTTTTATTAGCACTGATCACTGTATTGGTGTCATTGACACCAAATCAGTTCCCCCCAGTGGCAGAATGCCTGCCGCAGTCCCGCTATAAGTTTCTGATCGCCGTTAAAAAAAAAATAAAATAAAATAAAATTCCAGTATCTATACTGCCATTTGTAAACGCTATAACTTTCATATAAACCAATTAATTTACACGTACTGGGATTTTCTTTAGCAAAGACATGTCGCAGAATACATTTTGGCCTAAATTTGATGACATTCGATTTTTTTACTGCACATGTTTAATAGAAAAAGTAAAAAAATTGTTTTTTTTTCTCAAAATGGTCTCAAAAATAAAAACCGCACAGGCGATCAAATATCACCGAAAGAAAGCTCAATTAGTGGAAACAAAAGGATGTAAAATGTCATTTGGGTGCAGTGTTGCATGACTGCGCAATTATCAGTTAAAGTAACAGTGCCATAATGCAAAAAGTGGCCTGGTCAGGAAGGGGGGGAAATCCTCTGGAGAGTATGTGGTTAAAGGAGCTATTTTGATCAATTAGATATATAACATATCCTCTGTTTTTTGAAAACTTGCCCCAAGTATATATTTTGAACCATCTATAAAGTTTGGTATTGAGCCGTGTGTTTATAATATTGACCGTTCATACATGCAGAGTGGACAACCTCTGGAGGTATACAAGATCTGGCACTGGTGATGCTGGCCATGCTCCATTCCCCTGACGATGCCGATTGGTGGCGAAACAATGTTGGGTGCGGCCTGGCCGATGATGTCATATACATGCCAACAATCGAGGCCTTGGTGTGCTTCTAATGTGCTCCTATACTTATTTATTATAGGTACTTCTATAGCACTGTCAATTTACGCAGCACTTTACATCTATATTGTACATTCACATCAGTCCCTAACCCTCAAGAGGTGCACAGTCTAAGGTCCCTAACTCACATTCATACATACACATACTAGGGCCAATTTAGACAGGAGCCAATTCACCTACCAGCATGTCTTTGGAGTGTAGGAGGAAACTGGAGTACCCGGAGGAAACCCATGCAGGCACAGGGAGAACATGCAAACTCCAGGCAGGTGGTGCCGTGGTTGGGATTCTTACCAACGATCCTAGTACTGCCAGGTAGAAGTGCTAACCATTTAGCCGCTGTGCTGCCCATACGCCTTATGTTTGTGAGTATATGTCTGCTTATTTTAAATAAAATAGTTTTAAGATAGAACACCATTGCAGTCCTTTGATCTTCTCCTCTGGAGGGAATATCCGTTTATTGCACAAGAAGATTCCTTCTGGTGTCTGTCACATTATGCTGAGGAGGTGGTGAAAGTATCCCATCAGTGCGATGAGTGCGGAGTACGCGCAAACAAGCGTGTATTGATCTCTGGAAAGGGAGATCAGCCGTAAGAGGCTGATCATTTATTTGCTGGAGGAGGAATCACGTTTGCTCACCGCCTTTCAAGATTTACTTGAATTTCGGAAGATAGATGTTGGACTGAGCACTTTTTCACTTTTCATATGTCTGCTTTCGCTTTTCAAATGGCAGATGGCACTTATTATAAAGTTGTGGTTTGTTAGCCTTTTTTGTATTAAGAGGGTTCACAAGTGCATATTGTATTGCTATAAATCTAGAGATGCGCATCAAGTGTATGTTTAGATTGCTAGAAGGTTATTTGACTTTTTTTTTTTTTTTTTTTTTTTTTTAGGGAGCAGCACTTTTGTTTTACCAAGCGCAAGTCATTTTTTATAGATGATTCCATTCACACTTGCATGACTCCAAACCTACACAATTTCCAGTGCGACTGTACATTCTCTGGCATTAATGATACATACACCTTAGTGCCAGTACTCCATTGGGAGAATTACATAGGTTGACATTGATTACTTTTGGATATTGCTTTTGGTTTCCAGCAGAACAAGGATGCTCAGAGCTCCCGACCTGCATATCCCTGTATATCAAAGCTGCTTAGACCGTACTGAAACCAGCCAGGCAACTAGTATTTCCAAAGGTGGTCAGCAATGGCAGCCTAGGATTTTCTTTCATTTCTAATAGTCCAGCATACATATTTTATTAAAATCTGTCTGAGTGACTTACAATGAAATCTGTCCACACCTGAACTAAAAATGAAACCTCTTATATTTAATGATATATACCAGTGGTATCCAAAGTGTGGCTTGGGGGCCAGATGTGGCCTTTTGCTTGCTTTTATGTGGCCCTTGAGGCATTATTCCCCCCCCCCCCCCCCACCACTGTCCGCAACAGTGGGGTATAGTTTATGCCGCTGACACCAATGACGGGGCACTACGCCTCCAGCTGACACCAATGACGGGGCACTACGCCTCCAGCTGACACCAATGACGGGGCACTACGCCTCCAGCTGACACCAATGACGGGGCACTACGCCTCCAGCTGACACCAATGACGGGGCACTACGCCTCCAGCTGACACCAATGACGGGGCACTACGCCTCCAGCTGACACCAATGACGGGGCACTACGCCTCCAGCTGACACCAATGACGGGGCACTACGCCTCCAGCTGACACCAATGACGGGGCACTACGCCTCCAGCTGACACCAATGACGGGGCACTACTCCTCCAGCTGACACCACCAAGCTGACGGGGCACTACTCCTCCAGCTGACACCAATGACGGGGCACTACTCCTCCAGCTGACACCAATGACGGGGCACTACTCCTCCAGCTGACACCAATGACGGGGCACTACTCCTCCAGCTGACACCAATGACGGGGCACTACTCCTCCAGCTGACACCAATGACGGGGCACACCAGCTGACACCAATGACGGGGCACTACTCCTCCAGCTGACACCAATGACGGGGCACTACTCCTCCAGCTGACACCAATGATGGGGCACTACTCCTCCAGCTGACACCAATGATGGGGCACTACAGGGGCGGACTGACAACTCAAGGGGCTCCCAGGCAATAGGGGATCCTGGGGCCCTGTGTCCTTACACAAACTCAAAAAAGCCTATGAAAAAGGTACCAGGGGCATCTCATGGGGCCCCCTACTGATCCCAGGCCCTTGGGCAGTGCCCGAGTTTCCAAATGGTCAGTTCGCCCCTGGGCACTACTCCTCCCACTGACACCAATGATGGGGCACCATTCCTCCCATTGATACCACTGATGGAACACCATTATTCCCCCTAATACCAACGATGGGGCACGGTTTACTCCCTGACTCGAGAGCTCATCTGCATGAGTGCCCCCAAAAGGACAAAGATTGCTATGAGTGCACTCAAAGAGGAGGCAGAGAGGACCGCACCGGTGGGGGATCCCAGAAGAGGATCACAGGGTGAAACTAAAGAAAAATAATGCAACCACCACAATAAAAGATGGTTGGGTGGAAAGAGATTACGTTTTTGGTTTAGAGACACTTGAATATGAAAAAAACAAAAAAAGGTAGAAGAGATCAGTGGTTTTCTTAGGCTTTGTACACACAGGCTTGTAGAAGAGCATTGTATACAGCAAGCTTCTACATGTATAGAATGTGCAAAGCTTTCAGACAGCTTGATGACTTAAAAAGTAACCTTTAGCTTTGGTTTAAGGATTTTAAGAGATTCTAATGCAGGCACATTAAGCCCGGGTTCACACTTGTGTGGTGCGGCTTATCGCATGTGATTCGCACAGGAACCGCACCGCATTCCTGAGCAGTGCGATTTGAGCCGTACATTTTGTATGGGTCAAATCACACCGCATCCACACCAAAAAGGTGCAGGACACTTTTTTTGGTCCGCACTAGAATCGGATTGCATGGGTATTCACACCCATGCTATCCGATTCTGCACCGTGTTTTGCAGACTGATTTCGGAGTGTTGTTAACTTAACATACACACCAGCAGCAGTTCACATGAATGGGGTGCAATTGTGATGCGGTGCGGAATTCACACAGAAACCGCTGCGAATTCTGCATCGCTTCAATGTGAACCCGGGCTAAACAAGGTGTTCGGATCCAGCACTACTTGAATAAAGTCCACAAGCAGCCATTCTAAGGAATCGTGCAGGCATCCTTTTGAGAGGCCACCCAAACCCCACGGGCATTAGCACAGCCGGGGCAGCCCACTCACCTATTGCTTCAGAGCTCACTGAACAATACCGGTAGTTGTCTCACTGTGCAAGATCATGTCTGGCTGTTTTGCCAAGATCAGATTTTTACAGCCAAGTCCTAATGAGAGCAATTTCTGAAATTGGAACTGATGATTTACTATGTTATGTAAAAAATCTAGAAAATTATCAAAATTATTAGCAGTACCCTGAAAAGTATCTGGTCTGAAATCCCTTCTGAAAAATAGCAGTGCGCTTCCTGTTCTGCAAGTGTGCCTAGCCACTCCTATGCCTAAATCATGCAAAACATGTAAAAATCATGCAAAATTATGTAAACATGCATAAAATCGCACTGCACTGTATATCTGCAGTGTGAGAGCTAAGGCACTACTGCCGCCTGTTAGGCCTCGTTAGAACCAGTACACTGCGGTTTGGGTGCAGTGCAATTTAGGCACGTTTTAAAATACAGCTCAGAATATCTGCTTCCCCATACATCCCATACATCCTGTACAGCTAGCAGATATTCGGACAGGTCTCCAGGAGACCTGCATGGCGTCAATGATCTACTGATACAATTGTGCTACAACCAAACTGCAGCACACTGCTAGGAACTCAGCCTTAGTCTCAGGAGGTTTAGTGACATCATTACTTTTCTGCCAACTGTTCTCTTTGCTGGAGGCTCTCACATGTGAAAACAAAGCCCTGCCTCTGCCAAGATGACCACCTCCCTGTCAAGTCAAAATGGGGAGAAAAAAAAAAAAAAAAAAAAAAAAAAAAAAAAAAAAAATCAACTTCAGGGATACCACGGCAATACGGCTGACTAGTCCATTCCCTGTATTTTTTTTTTCAGTTCACATTGATATTTGCTTAATCCAGTAAATACATTTATTTCAGGTACTTATAGCGCCATCAATATACACAGCGCTTTACATATATACTGTACATTCACATCAGTCCCTAACCCTCAAGGGGTGTACAATCTAAAGCCCTAACTTACATTCATACATACACATACTAGGGCCAATTTAGATAGGAACCAATTAACCTACCAGCATGTCTGGAGTGTGGGAGGAGGAAACCGGAGATCTTACGCAGTCACAGGGAGAACAAGCAAACTCCAGGCAGGTGGTGCCGTGGTTGGGATTCAAACCAACGACCCGAGTACTGCCAGGCAGAACTGCTAACCATTTAGCCACTGTGCTGCCCGTGATGACCTACTTGTCAAACCCAAGTATAGTGGGCTTACACGGACCCTCTCTAGAGCTCTTAAAAGCAGAACTTCACCAAAAAAAGGGAAGTTCTGCTTATTTCAATCCTCTGTCCCCCTCCTCTAACATCCTCCTTAAGGAACACATCACAGGCCCAGAAAACTGCAAACCCATTCACATAGCGCAGAGCGTCTCAGGGAAACCAGCTGAGAAGCACTTTCTCTACCTGTTTTCCTTAGTCAAGACGCCGGATCCTGGATCCAAAGCCGATTGAAGAATTGGCTCGAGTGAGGACAGCACTGAATCCCTGGGCAGGCAAGTGTCCTTATATTAAAAGAAGCTACAGTATTTGCAGCCACTGACTTGATTTTTTTGGGGGAAGACTGAAGAACCACTTAAAAAAAAAAAAAAAAGAAACAAAAATCTTCTTAAAGAAGAATACTACAGTACAGGAAGGAACTAGTTTACAATACATAAATGAGTTACGCTCCTCAGTTTCTGCTGCAGTGCATAGAAATTAAAATATTAAATTGACATTTCAATAAAGAAAGTAAACTTCTTTACTCTAAGTAAACTGCTCCTCACTCGTTAGAACACAAGGCACAATTACTTAGCTGGCAAGGCCGTCCAACAGATCTTAACACGTTTTGGCGAGAGGGGGACATGCATGTCGTTTCACTAAAGTTAAGAAAAAAAAAAAAAAAAAAAAAAAAAAAAAAAAAAAGGTCCTATGGGTCATAAATCATGTATCAGCACTGCTCCCCTCGCAGTACGCACCAGGAACTGCAGTATAAACATGGCTGCTAGTATGAATAAGTCTTACAGCAGACACACAAATATTGTGCTGCACACATCCATGAAATGTATAGTCACCTAAATCCAAACCCTTGAAGTTATAGTTCCAGAACAGTGACTACACCATTGATCATATACTGAGTTCTCATGTGCATATTGCAACCTATAATTACTAAAACATGAATGAGTCATAGTGTTGCTTCATAAATACAAGACACCATTGTCAACTCATTCACTGTAAATAAGAGTTCAGCAACAGCAGCCTCCATGTTTCTTTAGGTGAGGTTCACACCTATGCAGTTGGCGTTTGATCCATTTCTGCACATGCGTTTGTGTTTTTTATTTTTCTCCCAACTTGTTGCTGGGCAGATTAAAATGCAAAAACGCATCAAAAAAAAAAACGCATTACATACTTTTCTGCAGCGTCTCCACTGAGGTCTATAGAACCAAAAACGCAACGTTTTGCATTAAAAAAATTCCTTGACCCTTTCCAAAAACCGCACCAGGTGAAAAACACAGATGTGAACCTGTCCCATAGGAAGTCGTATTAAATGGACTGCTTTACATATCTGCAAAACACAACGGAAAACGGATAGATGTGACCCTAGACTCAGGAAGAGTTTTCCTTTATATAAAAAAAAAAAAAAAAAAAAAAAACTACCTTAAAATAACTACCACCATCAGGTTTTCTAAAATGTCAGGTAAAAATCCTTTATAACAGTGACCCACTGAAATATCTGTACATATGTACTAAGTTTCTACCCACCTAAATACCTGACACAGGTTTGGTTCATAAATACAAAAACACCATTGCCGTAAATGAGAGGCCAGCAATGGCAGCCTCCAGTTTTTCCTTTCATTAAAGGTTTCCTCTAACTAAAAACCTGTCTTCGTATAACTACCACTTCACAGTCTTCCAAAAATGTCAGATAAAAATCCATGAAAGGAGATGCTGAAATATTGTACTGTGCATCTATGAAACCATGTTGTACTATGTACTATGAATGTTATACCTACCTAAATCCAAAGCTTCCCTCGAAGTCTCAGTACAAGAGCTTGGAGTACACTTTTTAACATACACCACGTTCTCATGTGCATATCACAGCCTATAGTTACTATAACAGAACCGACTCGCTGACACAGTTGCGCATCATAAATACAAGACACCGTCGCCTTGTTTTTGTCAACGTAAAATGAGAGGCCAGCAGTGGCAGCCTCCATGTTTCTTTTAGGAACAGTTTCCTTTGACGACTAAAAACCTATACAGGTATCCCTCGCTTAACCTCCTTAGCGGTATTCCCGAGTGTAGCTCGGGGTAAAATTTCTATACCAAGAGCGGTAACCCCAAGCTACACTCCGGGCTTACCATGCGGCGTTGCTCTGGGGGTCCCTGCAGCACTTACCTTGTCCTTCGCTCCCCCGCGATGTGTCCCCTGCAGCGTCCCCGGCCATCTCCTCCGGCCGATGCCAGCATCTGGCTTCCGTGTTCCGGTCCCTGTGACGCCGGGACGTACGGGCACCGGAAACGGCGGGAAATTTGAAAAAAAAAATTTAATTTTTGCTGTCTCAATGCATTTCACATATATTTTGTCCCTACTGCTTTGTCCTGTGCCCTGCCTGCATTTTGACTGTTCTTTCTGCCTGGAAACTTAGAAAAGTCCATGGCGTCCAAAAAGCGGCCCTTTACGTCAAAAGCAGTTTTAGAGCAGCGATAGTAAATCAGAACCACTTGCAGAATTGAGTGATAATGATTCGTGGGGGAAATTCGTCATCAGACACTGAAAACGATTTTGCGACTTTGCTCAGCGATGTGCGAATTTGCCTCTGTATTTCAAATTTCAGTGTTTTTGGTTTGATTATATTACTGAATTAGATTTATTATTATTTATTTTTTATGATTATTTATTAAATTATAATTTATGATTTCGTGTGTCACATTTTATCCTACCCGAGATGTTTACTACTAGACTCTTGTTCGTACAGATTTCAGTGAGTTATTCCTAAAAATTACAGCCTACAATAAAAAAACTACATATTTCCATGCAAAAAAATGGTACTGCTTTCAGCACAAAAAAAAAAAAAAAATCGGAAAGAATCATATTGCCAAGGAGGTTAACGATCTACCCGTTTAACAGATTTTCGCCCGTTTTTCTCGGCTTGGAGTTACGACCTGTCCTCGGAATTACGACCCGATTCAATTTCCTTTCCTCAGACTTATGACCCACTATTCGGACTTGCAACCCTGCTGGGGGACTTATGACGGAGAAACTGAGTGGAAGTGCGGCCTATGGTGGATCTTCTTGTGAAACAGCAGTAGGCCTATGGTGGTTTGTTTGTGGCTTAGGGTGTCTTTTCTGGCCTATGGTGGCTTCTGTGCAGTCTATGGTGGCTTCTTTAGTGCATTTTCTACTCCACAAAATTCCACAAATTTCTCAGCGAGTACTGGAATGTCTTCAGTATGGACTGTACTGTATGTGCATGGTGTTGCCTGCCATTCTTAGCCACCCTAGCCATTGCCATTTCTCTGATGTTCAGCCCAGGTGGTACCATACGCGCAAATAAAAGCAAAGTCATCAAGTTGGAGTTTCCTTTGTTCTGAATATTGTAATGTACATACTAAATACAATTGCTCGTTTAACGACCAAACTCCCTTAATTTAACAACCGGTACGTAACTCGGTCAATAAATGAGGGATACCTGTATAACTACCACCTCCCAATGTTCCAAAATGTTCAAATAACAATTTAAGAGCAAAAGCAATGTACAGATATGTCGTACTGTACATATCTATTAATTTTATACCCTCCAAAATCCAGACTTTCCTCGAAGTTTCTCTATGTGCGGTGACTACATATATAGTATAGTTTTATAGTTCTAATTATGTAGTCACCGCACATAGAGAAACTTCAAGGAAAGTCTGGATTTAGGTGGGTATAAAATTCATAGCTATGTACAGGAGGACATATTTGCACGTCACTTTACGCTTCTTAAATTATTACCTGAAAACGAACACCAGGAGGTGGTAGTTATATTCCTTTTAGAACTATACTAAAAGTACCACCTCTTGGTGTTAAAGTTTTCAGATAATTTAAGAAGAGTAAAGTGAGATGCAGATATGTCATACTGTACATAGCTATGAATTTTATACCCACCTAAATCCAGACTTTCCTCAAAGTTTCTCTATACGTGGTGACTACATATAATATAGTTTTATAGTTCCAATTATGTAGTCACCGCACATAGAGAAACTTCGAGGAAAGTCTGGATTTAGGTGGGTATAAAATTCATAGCTATGTACAGTACGACATATCTGCATGTCACTTTACTCTTCTTGAATTATCTGAAAACTTTAACACCAGGAGGTGGTAGTTTTAGTATAGTTCTAAAAGGAATATAACTACCACCTCCTGGTGTTCGTTTTCAGGTAATAATAATTCAAGAAGAGTAAAGTGACATGAAGATATGTCGTACTGTACAAAGCTATGAATTTTATACCCACCTAAATCCAGACTTTCCTTGAAGTTTCTCTATGCGTGGTGACTACATATAGTATAGTTTTATAGTTCTAATTATGTAGTCACTGCATATAGAAACTTCAAAAAGGAAAGTCTGGATTTAGGTGGGTATAAAATTCATAGCTATGTACAGTAGGACATATCTGTACGTCACTTTACTCTTCTTGAGTTATTACCTGAAAACTTGAACAAGAGGTGGTAGTTTTATTATAGTTCTAAAAGGAATATAACTACCACCTCCTGGTGTTCAAGTTTTCAGGTAATAATTCAAGAAGAGTAAAGTGAGATGCAGATATGTCCTACTGTACATAGCTATGAATTTTATACCCACCTAAATCCAGACTTTCCTCGAAGTTGCTCTATGAGTGTGGTGACTACATATATTCCTTTTAGAACTTTAACAACTACTGTATATTATTACTACTACCTCCTGGTGTTCCAAAGTTTTCAGGTAGTAATTCAAGAAGAGTAAAGATATATGTCCTACTGTACATGAATTTTATACCCACCAAAATCCAAACGTCTCTCAAAGTTTCAGTACCGGAGCAGCGATTACACCATCATATACCAAGCTCACATGCAGCCAAGACATGAAATGAGCTGCCAATAGTTTGGGAAATAAAAGAAACTATTCCTGAAAGAAACTCGGAGGCTGCATTGCTGGCCTTCTCATTTACAGGGGAAAAAAAAAAAAAAAAAAAAAAAAAAAAAAAAGATAATTGCATTTTTCTTAACTAAAAACCTATAAAACTCCACTATACTATAAAACTACTACTTCCAGGCAACAAAAGATTTTCAGGTAAACAGTAAAAAAAAAATAAAAAAGGTGACACACCGGAATGTACCAGTATGATTTTTACACCCACCTATATCTAAACCTTCCAGGACTTTCAGTGTAAGTGCAGTGACATGATTTGTGTAAAAAAAAAACAAAAATAAAATTATCTATATATATATAAAAATTTCATTGTGTACAGTGTTGCATGACTGCACAATTGTCAGCCAAAGTTGTGCAGCACCGTATAGCAAAGAAAATGGCCTGGTCATGGCCCTGCAAAAGGGGGTAAATCTTCTGGAGGGTAAGTGGTTAAGAGCTAAAAAGCTATGATATGCTATAACCATCACTTCTTGGCACTCCAGAATTTGGAGGCAAAAACTCAAGAACAGTAAACTGTCATATCAGTATGTTTTACTGTACATATGTGAGTTTTATACCCACCTAAAATCAGAAAGGTTTTAGTATCCGAGCGGTGATTTCATACATTCCTTTGGGGAACTAAAAGCTATACTATACCTACTACTTCTCAGCATTCTAAAGTTTTGAGGGAAAAATTCAAGAACATTAAAGCGACATACCAGGGGTGGACTGACCATTCAAGCACTGCCCGAGGGCCCAGGGTCAGCAGGGGGCCCCATGGAATGCCCCGGTACCTGTTATAGGCTTTTATGGGTGTGCTTTGAGTGTGGGACACAGGGGCCCCATGATCCCCTATTGCCCGGGGGCCCCATGAGTTGTCAGTCCACCCCTGCGACATACCGATATGTCATACTGTACACATCTATGAGTTTCATACCCACCTAAATCCAAACTTTCTCTGAAGTTTCAAAATAAGAGTGGTGACTACAAAAATTTTCTTCAGCTTGGTTCACACTGCCACAATTTCAGGTGCGATTTGGGAATTGAAATCGTACCGGAAATTGGATCGAATGAACGTGAATTAGAGTGTCTTAACACACGCGATTTGCTGCAGCGCAATTTCAAAAGTAGTTCTTGTATTACTTTTTCTGCAGTTTGTTGCAATTTCACATATGGACTACAATAGAAATCATACTGCAAAACGCAATGGAAAAAAAAACGCAAGAAATCCTCAGAAAATACGGTGAAATCACAAACAAAAAACACACGATTTTAAAATCACATCCAGTGTGAACCAAGCTGTCAAGAACTAAAAGCTATACTACAACTATCAATTCTCAGCGTCCACAACTGAAATAAAAAATGAACAGAGTGGAGACTACAAAAATGCCTTCCGGAACTAAAAGCTATACTACAAACTATCAATTTTTTAGCTTGTTGGTTGAGTGTTGTTCCTGTTGGTGTTTCCTTTGCTCTGTTATTAAAGGAGTGATTGCCGTGCAGATTCCTTTTTAACCCTGTTATTTTGTTAAAGTACCTACCCTAAAGGGGGACCCCGGACGTTCTGTGATTATCTGATGAACCCTGGAGCCTTGCTATAACGGATGACCAGAGGATGTTAGGGAATGCAGCCTGACCAGAATGCAGATGACCTAGATGTATCTGATGGCAAAGGAAACTTCTTTCATGCGTATTTAATACGCACTTCTGGTGAGTGCGCATTCTACTTATTTAATTATCTTCACCTCTGGACCACGTATTATCACCGTTAGACGCAACTCTGGGAGCTGGACATTATATTGTGATCATTAACAATTATATACTCCATATAACAATATTTGCACATTATAGATCTCATTTTCTGCTGACATTTGTATGATATTATTCCTATTCTTAGCGCTGCACCTTTATTATTTTTATATCAATTTTCAGGTTACAAAACTGAAATAAAAAATAAAACAGAGCGTGTTGACTACAAAAATGCCTTTCAGAACTAAAAGCTATACTATAACTATGAATTCTCAGCATCTAAAATTGAAGTAAAAAATGAACAGTAGAGACAACATACTGTTTTGCTGCACTGTACATCTTTATGAATTTTATATCCACTTAAAGCAGTGACTACACCATTTATCATATCATGAGTTTTCGTGTGCATATTGCAAGCGATAATTACTAAATGGTGAATGACTCACTGACACAGTTTTGCTTCACAAATACAAAACACCTATAACCTTTTTTAGTCACCGTAAATGAGATATCAGCAGTAGCAGCCTACATGTTTCTTTCAGGAACTTTCCAGCAACTAAAGACCTATAAAAAACATTATACTACAACTACACCTCCTGGTGTTCCAAAAGTTTCAGGCAACAATTCAAGAACAGTAAAAGTGATGAGCAGATCTGTTGTACTGTACAGTTTTAGATTTTTTCTATCCATCTAAAACCAAATATCCTGACTTTTTAGGTATGAGAATGGCCACTACACGATCATATACCAAGCTAAGGTGCATACAGCAACTTAAAACGGGAATAAGTTGCCAACACAGTTTTTCTTTCTAAATACAAACCGAGATTTTCTTTTTTCTGTAAATGAAAGGTCAGCAATGGCAGCCTCAGAGTTTCTTTCAGAAACGGTTTTCTTTACCAATTAAACCTAGAAAACTGTACTATACTATAAAAACTACCACCGATTGATGCCACAAGATTTTCAGGTAAAAATTCAGGAAGACACAAAAAACACACAAAAACACACAACAAAAAAAACAACACGACACACTAAAAACAAAACACAACAACACGACACACTGAAATGTGATATTGTACATATCTGAGAATTTTGCCCATCCAAAATTTCCTTGACATTTCAGTACAATAGTACTGACTACCACTTCCTGGTGTGCCAAAATTTTGAAGTAGCTATTCAACATATGGATATGTCGTAGTGTACATATCTATGAATTTTATACTCATCTAAATCCAAAAACATCCCCCGAAGTTTCAGAATGAGAGAGGCGACTACATAAATTCCTTCAAGAACTAAAAAAAGGTATACTACAGGCTGTGTGTGTATACTGTACTATAACTTTTTGAATTTTTACCTCCAATTTTGGAACACCGAGAACAGTAAAAAGTGATGCATGAATGTTGTACTGTACATACCTATGAATTTTACATTTAACCAAATCCAACCTTTTCAGTCGGAGAGCGGTGACTACACTATTTATCATATGGCAGCCTATTACTACTAAGCCACGATGGAGTTTTGCTTCAAAACACCTAACATAAATGAGAGGTAAGCAATGGCCGCCTCCACATTTCTTTCAGGAACAGTAAACTACTAAAAACCTATTGGGGGGAAAAAAAAAAAAAAAAAAAAAAAAAAAAAAAAGGACCATTGGTCCGCATTCCAAAGTTTTGAAGTAAAAAAGGTCAAAAAAAGGACAGTAAAGCAACATACTGATATACTGTACTACATACACATCTATGAATTTTATACCCATCTACATGCAAACTTCCCTCAACGTTTCAGTACAAGAGAGGCAACGACTGAAATTCAATAAAGAGCTAAAAGCTGTACTACAACTATAAAATTCTTGGTATTTCAAGTACAGCAAAAGGACGTCTACAGTAGGATATCAGTACGTCGCTTTAATGTACTTGAATTTTTACCTCAAAATATTGGAACACCGGGAGATCAAAGTTTTTTTATTATAGGTTTTCGGTATTCCTGAAAGAAAAGTGGAGGCTGTCATTGCTGACCTCATTTAAAAAAGGCAAAAAAAAAAAAAAAAAAAAAAGTTCAAGGCGTTTTGCATCTATGAAGCAAAAGTGTGCTAGTTGCGGTTTTGTAGTCATAGGCCACTATGATAAATAAATAATGTAGTAGCCATTTTCATACAGAAAAGTTTGGATTTGGGTGGATATAAAATTAATAGAAATGTACAACATATCGATACATTGCTTTTCTTGATTTTTTACCTCCAATTTTGGAATACCGAGAGGTTCTATTATAGCTTTTAGTTCTTAAAACCAGGTTCACATGTGTGGGGCCAGTTTTAGTGTGATTTTTAAAAGCAGTCTGATGCGGTTTCGGTTAGCGGTTTAGGTTGTGAATTTTTAAAAAGTTTATGGCACTTAAAATTGCACCTGAACTGTACTAAAAATTGTACCCGACAAAAAAACACAAACGACACACATTGCAGCTGGCCCACACATTTGAACCAGCTCCAAAGAAAGCACCTTTGGATCACACGTCTGCAAATCGGATGGGGTTCAAAATGCCTCTAATCTGCATGTATGTAAACCGGGGCTAAAGAAATTTAAGTTTTAACTTTTTATTCACAGGATTAAAAAAAAAAAAAAAAAAAAAAAAAAAAAAAAAAAAAAAAAAAAAAAAAAAAAAAAAAAAAAAAAAAAAAAAAAAAAAAAAAAAGGTAGCAAGTACGATAGTTGAGAAATGAAAAAAGTGCTACTGCGCTTATAGGAATAATCAATAGTACCAAATAACCATTTGCAGCAGTCCTAATTGTGAATACACACAACATCATACGTGAATACCATATGCACCGCGCATAAAAAGTGCAAAATATGAATATCTTTGTGACAATCTATGGAAAACAATATGGATACTGATAATAATTCAGTCCTAATAAGTGAAAACAAAGGGCAAAGTGGTAAAATTCTTGATTGTGAACTCCATGTACAATAACAGGTGCTCCACTGTGCTCAGACTGGTGCCCCACAAGGACTGACACTCACCGTCATCCCATGATCATCTATCTCTAGGATGGTCATTTGCACTTTTTTCTTCTCCTAGAGATAGGTGGTCATGGGATGACGGTGTCATTGCTTGTGGGGCACTAGTCTGAGTACAGCGGAGCACCTGTTATTGTACACGGGGTTCACAATCAAGAATTTTAGCACTTTGCCCTTTGTTTTTATGTATTAGGACTGAATTATCAGTATCAATATTGTTTTCCATATATTGTCACAAAGATATTCATATTTTGCACTTTTTATGCGCAGCCCATATGGTATTCACCAAGTATGATAGAGCGACATACTAGAAGACTGATGTAATGCTAAGCCATGCACTAGTCAAAAAGTCGTTTGAACACGTTTTTGAAAAGCAAACACACAGCCATGAGAGCAAGCGATATTGCCATCATGTAATTTCTGATTTTCAACAATTGTTCAACAGGCATAAATGACTCAGTTTTTTGTTTGTTTTGTCACATATGAACAGTAGAAACAGTTTGCTTTTTAATGGGCAAGAAGCACATTAACCTTTCAATTTATCGTCACCTCGACAGAAGTTTTCCCAAACTTTTCCTTCGAAAATCTATAGTGACGTTTTTGAGTAAATCGATATGTGCCCATTAACTGGAGGAAAAACTAACAAACTTTCCAAATGACAGATTTTCGGAAGATAGTGTATGACCACCATAGGTTCCTAAAGGAATTTATTTAGTCTCTGCTCCCATACTGAAACGTTGAGGAATGATTTTGGATTTAGGAGAGTATAAAATCCATAGATATGTACACTATGACATGTCTGTAGATCTCTTTACTGTTGTAGGCTCACCTGAAAATTTTGGAACGTTAGGAAGTGATAGTTTTTTTTATAGGTTTTTAGTTGTTCTGGATACCATTCCTGAAAGCAAAGCAGAGGCTGCCATTGCTGACCTCCCATTTACGCCAAAAAGTTAAAGATGTTTTGTAGTTATGAAGCAAAAACAGTGTCAGTTGCAGTTTAGGGGTAATAGGTAGACACCACTTTCATACTTAAAAGTTTAAATTTAGGGGAGTCTAAAATTCATAAATATACATAAAGTACAACATACGGATATGTCACTATACTGTTAACATTTTACCTCCAATTTTGGAACAACGAGAAGGTAAAGCAAAGTATAGATTTTAGTTTTTAAAAAAGGAATTTATATAGTCACTGCTCCCCTACTGAAACTTTGAGGGATGTTTTTAGATTTAGGCAACTATAAAAAAGTCATACGTATGTACACTATGACATATCTACACTCACTGGTCACTTTATTAGGTACACCTGTTCAATTGCTTGGTAACACAAATTGCTAATTAACTAATCACATCGCAGCAACTCAAAGCATTTAGGCATCTAGATTTGATGAAGACAATTTGCTGAAGTTCAAACAGAGCATCAGAATGGGGAAGAAAGGGGATTTAAGGGACTATGAATGTGGCATGATTGCTGGTGCTGGTCTGAGTATTTCAAAAACTGCTAATCTACTGGGATTGTCACACACAACCATCTCTAGGTTTTAGAGAATGGTCCGAAAAAGAGAAAATATCCCGTGAGCGGTAGTTGTGTGTGATAATGCCTTGTTGATGTCAGAGGAGAATGGGCAGACTGGTTCAAGATGATAGAAAGGCAACAGCAACTGTCAATATGGACCACAATATGAGGAATATTTCCAACACAAAAAGGGGGAGGGGGGGGGGTCCAACCCGGTACTACTAGCAAGGTGTATTTAATAAAGCAGCCGGTGAGTGTATATGTTGCTTTACTGTTGAATTTTTACCTGAAAAAAAAAAATTGGAATACCAGGAAGCAGTAGTCACGTTATAGTATATTCATTGCTCTTGTACATTAACTTCAAGGAAAGTTTGAATTTATGCAATTCACAGATATGTACAATACGACATTTCAGTGTATCCATCCCTTCTTCTTTTCCTTGAATTTTGTACCTGAAAATCTTGTAGCGCCATGAGCTGGTAGCTTAACAGTTTAGTACAGTTTTTATAGGTTTTTAGTTGTTAAAGGAAACAGTTCCTGAAATTACAACTTATTGATACAACACTTTACTGTTCCTGAATTTTTACCTTCAATTTTGGAACATCGGGACGTATAGAGTTTAGTTCTTAAAGGAATTTATGTAGTCAACGCTCTCCTACTGAAACTTTGAGAAATTGGATTTAGGTGGGTCTAAAATTCATAGATATGTACACTATGACATATTTCTAAATCTATGAATATTTTATCCAACTAAATCCAAACTGTTCAGTAAGAGAGTGGTGACTACACTCAGAGGCGGACTGACCATTTGGAAACTCGGGCACTGCCCAAGGGCCCGGGGTCAGTAGGGGGCCCCATGAGATGCCCCTGGTACCTTTTTCATAGGCATGTTTGAGTTTGGGCAAGGACACAGGGGCCCCATGAGTTGTCAGTCCGCCCCTGACTACACTATTTCATGTCTACATCCCAATCCTGTAACTAATTTCGTACTGAAAAGTTTGGATTTAGGAGAGTCTAAAATTCAAAGATATGTAAAAGTACAACATACTGATATGTCACTTTACTGTTCCTGAATTTTACCTCCAATTTTTGGACAGCGAGAATTTATACTACAGTATAGCTTTTAGTTCTTAAAGGAATTTATGTAGTCGCTGCTCTCCAACTGAAACACTGAGGAATGTTTTTGGATTTAGGTGGGTCTAAAATCATAGATATGTACACTAAGACATGTTGGTACATCTATATTTTATCCACATAAATCTAAACTTTTCAGTAAGAGAGTGGTGACTACACGAATATTTCATGTCTACATCCCAAGCCTGTAATTACTGTCGTACTGAAAAGTTTGGGTTTCGGTGGGTCTAAAAATTCATAGATCTGTAAAAGTACAACATATTGATGTGTGTCACTTTACTCTTCCTGAGTTTACCGCCAATTTTGGAACACCGAAAATTTATAGTACAGTATAGCTTTTAGTTCTTAAAGGAAGTTATGTAGTCGCCGCTCTTCTACTGAAACTTTGAAGAATGCTTTTGGAATTCATAGATATGTACACTATGACATATCAGTACATCTATGAATATTTTATCCACCAAAATCCAAATTTTTCAGTAAGAGAGCAGTGACTGCACTAATATTTCACATGTATGTCCCAAGCCTGTAATTACTTTCATACTGAAAAGTTTGGATTTAGGCGAGTCTAAAATTCATAGATATGTAAAAGTACAACATATTGATACATTACTTTACTGTTCCTGAATTTTGCCTCCAAGTTTGGGACACAGAGAAGTTACAGTAAAGTATAGCTTCTAGTTCTTGAGGCTTGGTTCACATCTGTGCCGGTGGTGCCGCTGCAGATATGCACAAAACCTCCATGCAGCCGCACCACCCGCACAGGAAAGCAGACCCGCGGGCGGGTGCCATTAATTCTAAAGGCACATGTCGGCACTGGAAATCGCAACCATACTGGGAACAGAGTTTCCAGTGCAGGCTGCGTTTTCAGAAGAAGTGCAGGGACTTCTTCCCCGCATGTCCCGGGGCACGCGAGTCCATTCAAATGAATGGGCTCTCGTGCCTACGCAAAACGCGGACATGTGAACAAGGAGTAAAGGAAGTTATGTAGTTGCCACTCTCTTACTGAAACTTTGAGGAATGTTTTTGGATTTAGGTAGGTCTAAAATTCATACATATGTACACAATGACATATCTGAACATCTATGAATATTTTATCCACCTAAATCTAAACATTTCAGTAAGTGAGCGGTGACTACACGAATATTTCACGTCTACATCCCAAGCCTGTCATTACTTTTGTACTGAAAAGTTTGGATTTAGGTGGGTCTAAAAATTCATAGATATGTAAAGTACAACATATTGATATGTCACTTTACTATTCCTGAACGTATCGCCAATTTTGGAACACCGAGAATTTATAGCACAGTATAGCTTTTAGTTCTTAAAGGAATTTATGTAGTCCCCGCTCTCCTACTGAAACACTGAGGAGTATTTTTGGATTTAGGTGGGTCTAAAATTCATAGATATGTAAAGTACAACATATTGATACGTCACTTTACTGTTCCTGAATTTTGCCTCCAAGTTTGGGACACAGAGAAGTTATAGTACAGTATAGCTTTTAGTTCTTGAGGCTTGGTTCACATATGTACGGGTGGTGGGCTGCAGATCCGCACCACCCGCACAGAGGAACGCGGACCCGCGGGCGGGTGCCATTAATTCTAAAGGCACACCGTCCGCACTGGAAATCGCAACCGTACTGGGAACCCTGTGCGGGCTGCGTTTTCAGAAGAAGTGCAGGGACTTCTTCCCTGCATGTCCCGGGGCACAGGAGTCCATTCAAATGAATGGGCTCTCGTGCCTACGCAAAACGCGGACCGCAGGAACGCGGATATGTGAACCAGGGGTAAAGGTAGTTATGTAGTTGCCACTCTCTTACTGAAACTTTGAGGAATGTTTTTGGATTTAGGTTGGTCTAAAATGCATAGATATGTACACTATGAATTATTGGTACATCTATGAATATTATATCCACCTAAATCTAAAAACTTTTCAGTAAGAGAGCGGTGACTACACTAATATTTCACGTCTACATCCCAAGCCTGTCGTTACTTTTGTACTGAAAAGTTTGGATTTAGGTGGGTCTAAAAATTTCATAGGTATGTAAAGTAGAACATATTGATACGTCACTTTACTGTTCCTGAATTGTGCCTCCAAGTTTGGGACACAGAGAAGTTATAGTACAGTATAGCTTTTAGTTCTTGAGGCTAGGCTGACATATGTACGGGTGGTGTCGCTGCAGATCCGCACAAAAATCCATGCAGCCGCACCACCTGCACAAAGGAACGCGGACCCGCGGGTGGGTGCCATTAATTCTAAAAGGCACACCGTCCGCACAGGAAATCGCGGGGACTACACTAATATTTCACGTCTACATCCCAAGCCTGTCGTTACTTTTGTACTGAAAAGTTTGGATTTAGGTGGGTCTAAAAATTTCATAGATATGTAAAGTACAACATATTGATACGTCACTTTACTGTTCCTGAATGTACCGCCAATTTTGGAACACCAAAAATGTATAGTACAGTATAGCTTTTAGTTCCTAAAAGGAATTCACGTAGTCGCCACTCTCATAATGAATGTTCTTGGATTAAGGCAGGTATAAATTTCATATATATGTACAGTACGACAATGGTAGTTCTATGAATATTTTATCCACCTAAATCCAAAAAGTGACAAAACTTTGAGGAAGGTTTTGGATTTAGGTGGGTCTAAAATTCATAGATATTTACACTATGACATCTCAGTACATCTATGAATATTTTATCCACCCAAATCCAAACTTTTCAGCAAGAGAGTGGTGACTACACTAATATTTCACATGTACGTCCCAAGCCTGTAATTACTTTCATACTGAAAAGTTTGGATTTAGGCGAGTCTAAAAGTCATAGATATGTAAAAGTACAACATACTGATTGTGCCTGAATTTTACGACATGGAGACGTTATAGTACAACATAGCTTTTAGTTCTTAAAGGACGTTATGTAGTCGCCGCTCTTCTACTGAATGTTTTTGGATTTCGGTAGGTATAAAATTCATATATATATGTGTACAGTATGACATAATGGTAGTTCTATGAATATTTTATCCACCTAAATCCAAAGTTTTCGGTAAGAGCGGTGACTCCACGAATTTCTCACGTGTATATCCTAACCTTGTAATTACTAAAACAGGCCGGAGTCACTGACACAGTAGTGCTTGGTAAATAGCAGACATCATGGTCTTTCTATGTGCCCTGTAAATGAGAAAACACTGGTATCTGACCAGCTTTAGCGGCTAGCTGCCATACTTGAGGTAAAAAAAAAAAATATATATATATATAAAAGTTTCTGAAATGTTTTGTAGGAAGAATTAGCTTTGTTAATGCTGAGGGGATGGTGCCTGGCAGCTCTCAGAGTCACTGGTTGTCTAGCAGCACGTTTCTAGGTGTAATTTGTGGTAATGAGGGATGAAGACATTATAAAGTGATAAATGGTGAGGGTTGGGTACTGTGTGGTGCAGACAGGCCAGGCCTCAAGCAGCAGCCATGTCAGCCCTGCAGCCCAGGCCTGACACACACACACCGCTCACTCACTCACACACAGACACAGGCAGCAGAGAAAAAGAAAATGGCGCAGAGACTAAGTCCCCACCACCTGAAAGCCGACTTTCAGGCGGGGAAAACAGAGGGGAAACGTGTCCGGAGGAGCCCGGGGAGGGTGGCACACGGGAGATCGGTTCGGGCTGAACAGAAATAAGTCGTTTTTTAGCCGGGGATCACCCCCGATGGGCCGGATGGAAGGCTCTGTAGGTGAACAAAGGAGCCGGTGAGCGAGCAGACGGGACTTAGTCTCTGGACGCCATGTCTGCCCTTCTAGAGGAGGAAGGAGAGTGAGAGGAGGAGGAGGGGGGATGGGAAGCAGGAAAACAGGGGGACCCACACCCCGATCCACACTCACTGCACCCCACAATCCTGGCCCAACACCCACACTAACCAGGGGACCCCGGTACTTACCGTTTGCTCGAAAATTCGCGTCGATCTAAAGGAAAGAGAAGGAGAAATCAGGACATGGGGTGCTGGTCAGATAAAGAGGCCCAGCTAACTACCCGAACCCCAAAAACCTCACTTTACTGGGGTGACAGGTTACTGATGGAGGTCATCACATCCCCCTAAATACAGGGTATCCCCAATAATCTACAGATCAGATCCTAGAACATAGAAGATCAGACCCCTTGCCTATAACATTACATGGATCAAGTCAGTATCTGATCACACTTAGAACATCCCCCCCAAATAAAAGGGGACCCCCAAATAAGTCATCAGATCCCATCTATAGTATAATATGGATCAGATCACAACATGTAGGAGATCCTACCCAGAATGTTCAGGGGATCAGATCCTGTTTATAAAAGTATCTGATTATAGTACAAGATCCAACACATCCCCCCCAAATACAGGGGACTCCCCAAACAAGTCATCAGATCCCATCTATAGTACATTATGGATCAGATCATGAACTATACTGGACAGATCACATCCTACATATACGATTGAAGGTTTCAGATCCGATTTATGAAACTATCTGATCATGGGAAGCATCAGATCCTACCTACGGTGTATTAGATCCTAGAATGTAGAAGGAGGCCCTGCCTAGAACATGGGATCCTACCTCTAATAATACATGGATCAGATCCTAGAGGTATCATAGGATCCTAACTGAAAGAGATCCTTCCCATAGTACATGTACCAGATCCTATACTAGAAAAGTCTGCTGGTGTCCCTAACTGGAATATAAAAGAGATCCAGCAATATAGATGCAGAGGCCCTGCCTAGAACATGGGTCAGATCCTACATTATAATAAGATCCTGTCTAGAAGATGGGT